TGTGCTGAGGTTTGGTGTGTTAATCAACTGACATCAGCCAGAGAGGGCAGTTCTCAGCTCCTCTGCGGTCCCTAATACAGGGAAACCAGCTCTAACACAGGAAATCCTGAGGCTTGCAAAGTCCTTGTGGGGGAAGGAGTGGGGAGAATCACACATGCATGTTCCTGCCATTTCTTTGTTGCCACCATTAGAAACTGGGGACATAATGTGATGTATGTTACCAAGACTCTGTTCCCAGTTTGAAGTCTGCGTGTCTGTGTAGATTTTGGTGAGTGTTGCGGTTTTTCCTGCCCCTTGTACTAGCAGTTTGTCTTTTCTTTGCAGATTATTCAAAAGTTCACCTAACACAGCTATTGGAAAAGGCTGAAGTGATTGCAGGCCGTATGCTCAAACTGTCTGTTTTTTATCGAAATCAGCACAAAGAATACTTTGATTATATCAGGTAAGAAAGCAAACATATGCAAAAATCGTTTGGAAAATTAAGGGAGTAATGAAAATAAGTAAATAGAGACAGCTGTGCTACAGCTAGAGCAGGATGTCTCTGTGCTTTATAGCCCATTCAGAAGGCAGCAAAGAATAAAATATAACTAGCTCGTTTCTTCCACCTTGCTTAATTCAGCACTTCCATTAGGCAATAAAAGTCTGTGTTTTGTGGCAGAATCTGGGGTACTCACAGGGTGTGCAGCCTGATTAAAGTGTCTGTTATCATAACAGAGTGTTTAGTGGCCAAATATTTCTACTGTACTAAGAAATTAAGAGTGAGAGTAGGAGTGTACAGCTGTGTCCATAGGCATTTACTTGCATATAAGAGTTCCATCTCAAATATTTGCTCTCCATGTAGAACCATCCTATTTCCATGTCCACATGTGGTAAATACAGGCTCTGCAATCTGTGTTAACTTATAGATCATGTGTGGAGGGAGAGGGGATGATTTTTAAACAGCTATAGACACCATGCCTCAGCTGGAATGAATAAATGGGATAGCTGGAGGTAGGTTCCCTATTCCTGCTGGAGAACCCAGTGTGCCCTCGCACACAAGAGGAAAGCAGAGTTTTTGATAGAAGGAGTCAAAGCTCATGTGCTGACTGAGCAGGACCAGCCACCACACAGGGTAACCTTTCACCCTTAGAAGAACATGGATGAGAGGTAAGCAGTGTCAGAAGGGTGGCAGCACTGACTGTGCTTCTTTAATATGCATTGGGAGATGGGGCTCCTGCTGTGCCACATAATTCTGTTTTATGTGTCACACCAGTACCTGTCTAGAATGGAAAGTTTTTTAAATCTGGTGAAGAAAAAAAATTACTCCAGGCAATCCAGCTTCAAAGAACAGATTCCACCACCCTTGGAAACATTCCCGTTTTGAAGTCACAAGTCTCTGATTGATTCCAAGACTATATTGTATATTCCAGAGCATGGGCTTGCTCTTCCCCTTCTGTGTTTTGGAAGGATTATTTTATTGCACATAGCGACAAAGCTGCAAAACTCAGTGGAGGTAGGAAATGACTTGTCATTGCTGAGGCTCTTTGAGGACCTTGTGAAGCTCAGCTGCCATCCTGGACTAGATACCACAGAAGGGAAATGCCTTTGGGGGTTCCGATTCTTATGTCGCTTTGTTTTCAGCAATGTAATCATAGTGCATCTGCCTTTGTGTTTATTAGTGTTGAAAATTGCCACTGAGGTGCATTTATAGCTGTGGGTTTGGCCTTGTTCTGCCAAATGTGACTCTAACTGATTGCACTGTATCTTTTCCCCTCCCTCCTGTTAAGTTCTTTCTTGCTTCTACACAAATAGAGACGAGTTGGACTCGATGATCCTTGTGGGTCCCTTCCAACTCAGCATACTCTGTGATTCTGTGAGTTTGTTTTCCCTCAGTTAGTGAGTTAGAGACAAAAAGCTGTGTTTTATGAGGCTAGTGAGAAGCTGCATCACCTGTAACTGGCTGATGGTTGCCTTTTTTTGGTCAGAAATAGTCTAAAATGGTCACAAGGGCTAGTCCTTCCACCAAACACCCTTCTGCATGTTATGTTAATAACCAACCACATGCTCCCTTTTAGGGAATATTCCTTGTCATACCATGCCTGCCAGTGGCCTCTGTGGTGTCATGACTAGCAAACAAGCTTGGAAAAGCTCTGGTAGCATTGGCAAACAAGCAACTGGTCACGGAGCTAAAGCAGCAGCCCCTAAATGGAGGGTCTGCAGTGTGATCTCATAAGTGGTATTCATGTCACTGCTGTTTACCACGCCTGGGAGAGCCACTAAGCAGCTCAGATCCCCTGAAAGGACGACCTATAATTAGCCTATTTGGCCACTGGATGTCAGTATCTTGCCTCAGAAATGGAACTGACTCTCACTGAGAGCCATCTGACTTTTCAGGTTGCAGATGTTTCAGGGGGTTATCCAAGCTGATTCAAGTTTTTGGGGTTTGGGGGTTTTTTTTCTCCGTAGTAATAACTTCATAAAATACTAATTATACCCCCCCAATCGAATCAATGTCTTGTGAAATATGGCTTGAGACAATAACTAAGTAGTGTTTGAATGGCCCAGAAAACTGTTGGAACTTCTCTTAGAGTCAAATGTGCTGACGAGAAGTTAGAAACAAGGAAAAAAACCCCACAGTTGGAGACATTACTGAGCTGATTTAGAGCTGGTCTGTAGGTATACACTGAATTTTTTTGCTTTGATTGCTACCTCCCATGTTAACCAAGTAAAATCTTCTCCCATGCAGCACCATTTTACCTGGACCTTTTGCAAGTCAAAAGCAGAGAGAACAGTATTTCTTGGTTAGTTTCCCCTCTCCTAAAAAAAAAAAAAAAGGAACAAAGGAAAAGAGAAAAAGAAAAAAAAGTAAAAGCAAAGCAAGAGGGGGATATAGGACTCTCCAGCCCCACAGATTCATGTATTTTTAATCTGTAATCTTCAGTGAGCATAAAGGCAATTTTCTAAGGGTGCATAGCAGATATGTTTTGCAGGACTTACAAAAGGGGATATTTCCCTTTCGGGCATCACATGGTTGCAGGTGCAGAGAGAGTCAAAGTTATCACTGGGGCACTTCCAGACAGGTGTGAGGCACAAGTTCTGGGGAATGTCCTGCTATACAAAACATCTCAGGTGCTAAGGAGGATTAGATGAGGTGTTTTGGAGTGTTCTCCAAAGTTTAGCAGCCTCATGCTGCTGAGTGCAATTTGAGATTTGGAGGATTAAAAACTCACTTGTACGTTTCTTTTCACTGGAATGAAATTGAGCTGAGCTTGCAAAAGAAAAAAAAAAGTTATTCTTACGCTTTTTTCCCCTTAGGACTAGTGACTGCAGGAGCTGGATACCAACCAAAATGGAAACTAACCAAATTGCCTCTGTGCCCAGCTCTGCTCTGATTGAAGTCAGCAGTAGACAAATTAGACTGGAAATTATCATTTGGGGGAAAATAGACTATGGCAGACAGTACATTCCTTCCCATAACCTCTCTGAAAAGCATCTTTCAGAAATAACTTTCATTGGCAGTTTTCTACATGAACTATATACTGCCTATGCTAAAAATACACATTAACAAACAGTATATTCAGCATATGGTGACTGACTTGCAATATTCAACATGTGTTTATTGTTAGAATTGTAGTGGAACACTGAACAAATGAGCTAATTAAAGATATCGGTGGTTTGGGGGCTTTTTTGTGTGTGCTGTTTTTTGCCTGCATGTAACATCCACAGAGCTGACAGAAAAGCCAGACTGGAAAAGCAGATTTTCCCCTAGAGCAGGAGTTACTGTAGCTCTTCCCAAGTCTGCTGTCACTTGATTTTCTTGGTCCTAAGATCATGACACTAACCTCGTTTTCAGTTTAACAGTTTTCCTTTGTGTCCCTTCAGCACTGTTTCCAAACAGCATGATGTCCTAACTTTCCACTTTTTCTTTACCATGTGTTACAAAATAAACAATACCAGTCATTCATTTGTAGAGAGCATCACGGGAATGCTATGCAGCCCTCTGTTAAGGATAACAGTGGCAGCCATGGCTCTCCGATCAGCGGGAAGCTGGAAGGCATCTTCTTTAGCTGCAACACTGAGTTTAACACTGGGAAGCCGCCACAAGATTCACCGTATGGAAGATACAGGTATGAGATTGCAGCTGAAAAACTCTTCAACCCAAATACTAACTTGTACTTTGGAGACTTCTACTGCATGTACACAGCCTACCACTACGTCATCCTCGTGATCGCCCCCGTGGGGTCACCGGGAGATGAGTTCTGTAAGCAGCGCCTTCCTCAGCTAAATATAAAAGATAATAAATTTCTGACCTGCGATGAAGAAGACGGTGTCATGGTTTACCATCACGCCCAGGATGTTATTTTGGAAGTAATTTACACCGATCCTGTGGATCTGTCCCTTGGCACAGTTGCGGAAATTACTGGTCACCAACTAATGAGCTTGTCTACCGCAAACGCAAAGAAAGATCCCAGCTGCAAGACCTGCAATATCAGTGTTGGACGTTAAAACTTCCCTCGTTCCTTAGGAGCCTTCCAACCTCTGTTGCCCATGTCCATAGTCAGACGTTTCTGTCGGAAGCATGCACATGCTGCTCTCACCAAAAGCAAACACGAGTCTTCAAAATCTCCAATAGCGTTCTTAGTATTTCTTCTCTCCCTCTTTCCCTTCTGTTGCCCCAATGCTTTTAATGATTAGAAGTCCTGGGTTTCTTTCTGGCAACCATTTATCCCTAGATGCTGCAAAAATTGTTTTCTGTTTCTTGCCAAACATAACAAAATCCTATATAAACTGCTTTAGCAAAATAAAAATAACGGCTTATAAATGGTGTTTAAATATGCATTCATTTTAACTACTGAACAAGTACTGGGATAACTCTGAACAGCATGAAAGGTTGTAATTGCAGCATGATTTGAATTTCAGAGCCTAGAGATGTCAGCACTTCCAATGTGTTGTTTGACAGTGTTATTTATGTTATTTATATTAGCTAACTGAAAACAGAAACTGTGTCTCGACATAATAAATATAATAGAAAAATATTTTATTTGTACTGTTGTATAAAATATTATACAATCATATAGAATATATAGATTACATTTTAATATCAATTGTATACATATATCATTAAATCATTTTCCCTTATCAAAGATGTAGTTTGTAAACTTCAAATAGCTCTGTATCTGTTCCTGTTGCTCTAGATGACTTCAATTAAAACAGATTTATGAAGACCATTTCTGATTCATAAAAGTTAAGTTATAAATTATTAAGTCAGTACACTGAAACAAACAACCCTCTGTGAAATAAAAAATTCCTTTTTTAGTGTTCATATTTTTCCTCCAAACTACTTGAAGATGTGTCCATCTTCAAAATCATGCCATTACACGCAAGATAAGTACAAACGTGGTTGGTAGATAACAGGCTTTATAAAATCAAAATCTTCTTACCAAGATAGAAAACAGATTGCTTATACTATGTGGTCAATACAAAATGACAGTTAAAGCAAAACACTAAACATGATTCAACTTACTCAAGTCCCTTTTTCTCTCTTTAATTAATTCTTCCCTCCTTTATGTCTGGGCTAGGTATTTCCCAGAATCCCACTGCTTTTCATTTCTAATACAAAACCTGCTGATAATCCTTCTGTTAAACAGTCCACTTTTCACACCAATGCTCTATCACAAAGAGTGACAAATTCTCTTTAATAATACAAAGTGTGGTGCTCTGAAAGTTAAGAAATACGCATAATTCCAATGGAAAAATAACTTTATAATCTTATTTTCAGTAAACAAGAAGTCTAGCAGTCCTCATCAGATAACTGTGACACTCACTTATATACCATGTACTTTACCTATCCAAAATATCTTAGCATAATGCAATCATCTAGTCCTGTTTTAATATATATATATGTGGCAATTTATAACACAAGAAGTACTTCAACATTTTACAAAGTGCATGCGTCTAAACGAGCTTTGGTAGTCAGAAAAGCGAATGTTATAGCATCAGGCAAAACAAAGTGCAAGGTTTCGTACAAAAATCAAAATTAGCATGTAGTTAGTTGATCTACTTATTAAGTTCTGTGAGCCAGGTCCTGTGAACTAGTGAAAAGGACAGCAGCCGGTACATTTGGTCTCTCTCTTCCCAGTAACCTCTATTTTTTTCTCTTATCTCTAAAAAAACAATAGTTCCATTTGGCCAACATGTTCTGTCCTTTTTTTTTTTTTTTTTTGCATAAGCAGCATCACTTTGCTCTACTCCCTGGCACTGGTTTTTTTCTATGCACCTTTCTTTGAAGCTACTGGAATTGAATGGCATCTCTGTCTTGAAAGCCAGAGTATGTCTGGAGTTTTCCCTTAATTTGTTTTAATTCATTTCCTTTAATCAGCACATTGAGAGCTGTCATTAATAGTTAATTCTAGTGCATGTTAATTCTGGAAACAAACGTAGTACATTATCATGTACTAAGATGTACTAAAAACCTGGAGAGCATTTCCTCACACTTTTAGAGCAGGTCAAACTGAGGAGCTACAACACTTCAGTGTCCTCTTCATTTCTTAACATTCTCACAGTGCACTTCAAGGCTTTCTCAAAAGGAAAAATATATACTATAGTCCACTCACCCGTGCTTAATATTCTTGCATATTGCTGTCCTCTCTCATCCCAGCTATTATAATTGGTAAAGTGCATCAAAAATCTCAGTGTGTCAAATAATTGTGCAGCAGACTAAGACCTGTAAAATTACTTTATCTTTTTCATTACTTGGTTTTTTGCTAGAGAACAATATCACAGCATTGCATTCACTTCAAATCGTTTTGGAAATATCATGCTTACTGATGAGAACCTCCAGGAGCCTGATTTTGGCTTTTGTGTGCTTGTATTCGGAGTATTCCTCGGCCATTGGCACCCGATCTTCTTTTTGAGGACTCCTATGAAAAGCAGATGACAGTGCCATCACTTTTATGAGTAAGAGGAGAAACTGTCTTTAAAATTAATTCTGCGACAACTAATGAGAATTGGATTTTTTTTGTTGTTTTTTACTAACTGTATATGACTAAAGATAATTTGACAGGACCAAAAAGCTCCAGTAGACAGAACCGAAATAGTATTACTTAAAATAATGAATTTTCATATGCCAGAAAATTTTCTTTCTTGACAGCTGTACAAGCATAATCACTTGATTCTCAAATATGCAGAGAAGTTATAACATAGTGCTTTGAAAACTGTTACCAGTAACCACTGCCCATACCCTCCACAGTTTTCAACAAACAGGTTTGCTAAATGAAGGGAGGAGGAAAAGCAAAGAGTGAAAAGTACCTGTTATTTAATTATGGATGAAAGAAACAGTGGCTTCTGTTTTTAAAACCTGGCCTTTTAAAAATGGCCCAACTGCCAAGTGTAATTCCTGCAGACTGACACCCTCAGAAAGAGTCTTTTAGCAGCTTCCCTTCAGCTCAGGGAAGATCCTGTGCTGAGATGGGGGTTATACCAATTACAGGCATGACCTGGAAAATCCACAGCTCCAAGTCATCCTCAGGGATGACCACATCCTGAAGGAACTAAGCAGGGAGACAGATGGACACCTCCACGGTATTTTCCAGTCTCCACCTGCAGCGTCTTTGTCCTTCTCACCCCCGAGTGCCCACCCTGGCAAACAGCCCTGCAGAGGACCCAGAGGGGACAGGAGAGGGCTTTTGCTGAGCTGGTGAGTTACCTTCCTGTCTGTTTGTAGAATTGCTCCTCAAACTCTCTCAGAGCTTTGCGAAGTCTTTTCTTATCAGCTCTTGTTTCTCTAAGATGTTCAAGCAGAACAGGCCTGTAAGAGACAAGAATATGAGACCCCTCTTGTGCTGGGAAGTGTAAAAGCCATGGCTTTGGGTAACAAAGAGCCTGCTGTGCTGGGCCATGGCAGGCACTGAGCTCAGCCCCCTGAGACGTTCCACCACACCCCTCCAAGGATACACAGCTGTGCTCCTCCCCTTCTGCTGGTACTCTCACTCTGCTAATACAGTGAAGGCAGACACTCTGTGGTCAACATGGGAGGAAAAGCATTCAGAACTGAGTCTCACTAGTGGCCTTAATTCTCTGTGGAATTAATGGAGTTGACACAGCTCAGCATTGCACAGAAGGAAATGCTTTGCGTCTCTTTTAACTGAATTAAAATCAACATCCAAGCCCTGCTCATGTTTGCAGCTGTTACCAGTCATTACTCTGATGCAGTGGAAATGCCAGTGGTTCCCAGACGCATCGTTTTTGGAGGCCATGTTTTAGGTAGTGTTCAGAGAATAAGGTTTTTAAGCAGAGAAAGAACTCTTATGATGGCATTTGCACCTCGTAATTCTTGAACTTCTGCATAACAACAAAATGCACAGAAATATCTTCCCAGCATTTGTGAGCAAACTATTGCACACAGAGTTCATTTACATAGAAATCTAAGTAATTTTTATTTATTCTCAATTTTGGTAGAGCCTAGTTAGCTTCCTTTATGCATCTAAGAACTCCCAATCAAAACACAAGAAAAAAGATACCATCCCCTAAGCTATCTGTTCCTGGAAGGCATAGTCTTCAACAAGTTTCTTGACTGAGTTATAACAGCATATGGGCATCTTGAGATCTGTTGTCTCATGCAACCTGAAATTCTTAACTACAAATCATTAGGGCTTTATTTTGGTTTTACAATGGAGGGTGGTGGTGAGTTTTCAGGGCAACCAGGCACTAATAACTAGGCTTAGGCAAGGCATAAATTGATTTTACATGCATTCAGTGGCCTCCCATGTGACCAGCTGCTGTGTGACCTTTTATGCAGCTCCCCTGTTGCTGTTTGGATGCCTAAGGTCACTGGCATTTTTACATCACTCACGCAGTCAGTCCCAATACACACACAGAGGAGCAGACTATCCTCCAGTGTTATGACAGCTTTGTAAGAACATAAGTAGTTAGACAGCTGCAAATTTTGCAACAATTAAAGGTAGGTTTGCATATCACTACTATGCCATTATGTCGTATCTACCACGTTGTCTTTGTTTCTCTTATCTGCTTACTTTCGTCTACCTTGCTCTTCCTGGACTTGACACAAAGTTGTTTGAATACATAGCTCAAACCACAGGTGTGCTGCCCAAACAACAAATCTGATCTGCCTCTTCTCTCACATATGAAAATGCTGAATCACTCCTTTTGTGTAGAATATCCCTATGCAACAGGTATGGCTCATGTTTCATTTACAAAGTCTACGTGAAACATTTTAAAAATACAAGGGAAAAAAGTGAGAACTTACATTGTTGCCTCGTGTAAATTGGACATCGACAAGGCTGTTTGCCTGTAAACTTTCTTTTCATCCAGAGGTGAGACATGTGCAGGCTCACTCTCCTCCTGAGAGTAACACAGGTGCTCTTCGACAGGGAAGCAAGACATTGGACCGGATGAAAACTCATGGCTGCTTTGAGAATGGTCTTCATCTGAGTCTTCCTCCTCCTGCTTGTGAAATGTGAGGCATTATTTAATTAATTGTTTAAATCGGAACACTCACAGTTCATAGGATGACAACAAAAAGAATTAGGATCTAACTTCCTGGATGTATTCCTTGCAATAGGTTACACACATTGAAAGCTTTACCCAGGTAAATCTTGGTAATCTTTATCAAGATTGTTCATGAAAGCACTCGTGGGGTCACTGGGTAACTGAGTATTGCCCACCATGAGTATAAAGGACAAAAATTGGCCCTGCTTCTGAGTATCCCCAGCCAGCAATTTATTTCTGTTTGTTCTAAAGCCCTTCTATATAGCAAAGATGTAACTAACATTCTGTATTTATTTCAGCAGTGCAGTCTGGCTGGAACTTGTAGTCCTCTTATATACCATCTACTGCGTGCACTGTGTCCAGAAATTCTGACTGTTACAAGAGTTGTAGGAGAGATTCCACAGTTTTACAGCTACAAACTTGAACTACCAAAATAGGTGATTACTGCTGTCTTCCTCACATTCCTCCATCCTCAGAAGAAAAGTTGAGCTATTGAAACTGAGGCTTAAATATAACACTTCCATGGGGCAAAGCTCCTACAAAGTAACGCAAGGGGGAATTTCAGTTAAATTTTCTAATAAAATACCTCTGTGCATGTGTACAAAGATTTATATTGGGATTTTTCAGAGAAATCTGAAGCTCCACTCTCATCTAACAAGACAATAATAATTTTTAAAGTCGACCTAGCTCCAATTACTATTAGATTAGTATTTATGATAGACACGCTAATTAACTTCAAAGTAGCCAGATGCCACTACCTTTACTGCCCATGCGACCAGTACTGTTACATTACAGTGATATATTATTAAAGTATTACTAATATTTATATGGTACATGATTGATAAAAGCATTGTCAATAAGTTACAGAAGCAAGACACAGTGACAGCAGAGATCTTCATGAAAAGAGAGAGCTTTCCTTCTGTGTTGCAAGTGTTAGCCATGATGGAAAAGTAATGCCAGCCTTTGATCTCTTACCCAGGCCATTGAAGTACTGCCTCAGAAACTGCTGCCATAAATTGCACACTGTGACATGCCTAGAAGCTGAATTTTACAGAGCATTTGCTCTTTTTGAAATATCAACACCCTGTATTAACTAGTGAGCAGATTTTTTAAATATCAGTAGTTGTATTGCTGCCAAACGGACATACGGGTACAAATCAAGCACAGCATTTTCTATGGGCTTTTTTTTACAATGGATATGAATTCTTTCCAACTTACAATTGTTGTGATCAAAGATGGAGCTGCAAGAAGTTTCTTGATAATTCTGTATCTGTCGTAAAGAGGTTTCATGAGACTCTTTTCTTGCTTAGTGACCTAAAGAGAAATCATAACAAAATGTAGTCCTCCAAAATTAAAAATAAAAGGTAAATAAAAAAGATTCTCATTTGCTCCTGTAAAGCTGAGAAAGGTATTAGAAGAATATGACCAGATGTGTATTTTACTTCCACAGATATTCTATGGGAACTGTAATTTAATTCATACAGTTCCCATAAAGGAAAATGGCAATCTGTTTTCTAATGGAGAATACCCAATGTGGTTTCCTCACTTCCTGGAGCCACACCAGCCAGGCAGAGGGGATATTATTCACTTTCTGAGGATGTTGGTGGAGCAGTAAGAGTTAAGATACATTGCTACTGTGCCTTGCATTGGTATCTCACTCACTCAGCTGTAATAATGGCAACAGGCTCCCTGCAGGAATGTGATAGTCTGCCTGGGACAATATGCTCATAGACTCAGTGGGATGGAGAGCACCAGGAACACAGCTTTACAGCCTCCACATGGAGCTGGCTCCATGCAGGATTGCTGCGTGCATTCCTCACTGGAACTGCCTTCCACAAACAGGATTAGCTGTCTGTTCATTTTGTTTGCTCTTGGTCTTTTATGAGCGCTAGAAGCATTGATTTGGAAGAGAGTATGATTTAAATTCAGCTGTTAAGAGCCTGATCAAGCCACAAATATTCACCAATACAAAAATAAACCTTATGGAAACTAGCTGTGCAGTAGACTGACTTACTGCACTAAGGAAAAAAGAGTGAATTCCACAAGGAAATAAAACAAGACAAAAAAGGCCCCAACCAACCAAATAACCCCCATCATCCCCAGAAAAAACATGTTCCTCAGTGATTAAATGCCAAAGCAGGGTCATTTGCAAGCTAGTCCACCATCAGCCTCTGCTCCTCAACTCCCATGCCTATGAGCACTCTCTGCATACAGTGTCACTGATTTTTGGCACAGTGAAGCTGAGGTCCACCCGCTCAGGTGAGTGAACACACAGCAGCTCTGAAGAGACACAGACTGGAGAGACAATAGTCCAGAGCTGCTCAGAAACAGCCAAATGCCTGGTTAGCGGAGTAAGGGTGACAGACAAACACAGGGTGGTGACACCACGTACATCTGGCTCACTGAGCAGCTGGGGACCATTTCTAGAGGCACATTTATTTCACCGCAGAATGTCACTCCCAGTGAGTCCACTTCTCTTCCCCAGTCGTCATGTCCCATTTGATTACAACCCGTAAGAGTGGCTCCAGGGAATGCCAAAGAGCCAGAATAGATCATTTTTTTTTTGTTTGAAACCTGGTCAGTGCCCTCTCTGTCTGACCTTGTTAAGGTAAGTCTGGATGAAGGTGATGCTGAGCCATACTAAACATCAGCAGGGCAAGCATCATCCCCAGTGTGCTCTGCTGTTACAGAGCTGCCTCAACCTTGAGAAGAAACACCCTCTCTGAACCCCATGCTATAAAACATACCCTATCATTCCCTTTTGTGAATCAAGTCTCTTTTATGTCTATATAGCATTAATAATTTCTTTTTTGTTCTGCTTCTTAGGAAGTATAATTTCTTCATACCCTCTCCATCCCTCAGCTCTCATTCCAAGCCCAAAGAAGATGAACAAAAATGGTTTTATCCAAGATGCAGAGATAATTTTAACAGCTGGCATATTTTTGGACACATGCTAGTGCTGCTCCCCTTTTCCTCTACCACTGGAATTACTAGTCAGAAACAGAGACAGTCATAAGAACACAAACATAGATATCAAACAGAAATTCCACAGTTGTGTATAGACAAATTTTCAGGTCATCATCTCACCAATGGTGGAATTTTTTTTGGTTTGCACCTACATTCAGGAATTAAGTCCCTTGAAAGGATTTAAATTAATAGTTTTAACTGCTGCTGTGTAGTAAAGGAAAAAACACGTGACAGGCCATGTAATTTTGTAGTTCATGTCCCAGATGGTGCCCTATACAAAACCTTTCTCAGCTGCTAAGCACTCTAACCATATATCATAGCAGAGCCAAGGACGCATGAGCCAGGTCTGCTGTGGATATATAATCTCCCAACTTTATCATCCAATCCTGCATTTTCCAATCATGAAGAGAGATACAGGGCCACAAGAAACTTCTCTTTTTATTTTAGTTTATTTTTCTAACATATAAACCAAATTCATCAGTATCAGGCAATAACATTTATACCTGAAAATTAGTTTGAAATAACTAAAATTATGTTAATTGTGTAAAACTCAGCTGAATATATTTAATATACAAGTCCAAAAATATTTGTTAGATAAGTTAGATAATTTTCAATGTACCTATCTTTCCATGGCATACTTACAGGCTCTCCATGAATACTCTCAAAATACAGTAGACATTTCTGAAGATTGATTTTTTCCAAAGCCATTTGCTTTTTTGTCATATCCTATTTAAAAGAGTTATTTATAAGATTATGAGTCAGGATTTCATGACAAGGGTACAGGTACATATCTATTTAATAATCTGCTCTCCCCAGATAAACATTAATAATGAATCCTCTTTCTGCCTGCACTGAGGTCAATGGGGACTTGGCATTAACTTAGCAAGAGCAGAGTCCAAAATTACATAACTGAATCTTTAAATGAATCAAAGGACGTGTTACCCTCTCAAGGCCTAATGCAGAGCTGATGGGAGCTATGGAGATACTTCTATGATTGGAGTAGTCTTTCTGTCAGGCTTTTACCAGTGGAAAATACACTGCATTTGCTTTGGCTGCCAAAGGGGAGCCTTTGGAGCCTGAACTTGTGCTCTGTCTTATGGAGAAAGACGCATAAATGAAAGTTTACTGAAAGCCTGGAATCTTATTTTTCTTAGCTGTCATACATCTAACACTTGATTGCCCTGGTTTCTCTCAAAATTACTATTCCACCAAAGCAATTTAACAAGCTTAAGGCCGGGAAGTGCTATTAGGCTACTGATGGAACACTGCATTCCCTATCTGGAGTGTTCCAAAGACAAAACCGTGGTCTTAGTCAGTAAAGTGAGAATCTTCATGTGGTGCTCAGAGTCTGCATCCAAAACAAATTTCCTGAGAATACCATCTGACAGAGGCACTGAAGAAGCAGAGTTTTTAGCTGGAATATCTCAGCCAAGTTGCATGAACATGAGGTGTGTGTCATCGGTTGGGTTTTGGAAAGGCGGGTTCATAAAAGATGATAGCAGCACATGGGTAGAAAGTGTTGGCAAACGAGGTCCCACAGGTACCATTGCAGAACTTTCTTAGAACAATTTAGGTAACATTAATGAATAATTATTATGACTGAAAAACTAAAGAAATGTTTTTCCTCATCCATCTAATGGAAAAATCAGAAAATAATGTTGTTAACTTCCATTTGCCAGTTCAGTTCATAAAAAGCATTCCCCGTTACATATTAAGTATGTTTAGTTGCAACAAATGAGAACAGCCACCATTCTGCTCAAAATACTCAGAAACTTGCAAAAATACAGAGAGGATTTTTCAACTTTTTCCCTCAACTTTTTAATTATTCATCAAAAAAGAGAAATGGATTTGCCTTGGCTGGTAAGGGGTATAGAAGAGAAAGCTTCAGCAATGCAAACCCAACCTGTTTGTGGAGTGGAGTGATAGATTCACAATGAAATCCCTAAATATTCAGCCATCGTGATACTATGATGAACACTCTCTAAATGCTGTGGCTACTAGGAAAAGGTACTGTCTGTAAAATGAAATGGAAGACTGACCAGGCAGCAGGAATTTCTGGCTGGACAGTGTGCGTTGGTAGAACCGCTGTGGGGGAGCTGCAGAAAGTGCATCTCACACTGGCACTTTATTTCTGTTCAAAAATCACAATACAGATCACTGGTACCAGAAGAATGTTGATTTTTCAACAATGCAATTTGTCAGTGTTGGTAACACACCAGTACATGTACAAGTGTCTGCTGCAGGGAGCACACAATGCAATGGGTATTTATCTCCTCTTTTCCCTTTTCCCCTCTTCCCAACAAGATCTGCTCCCGAACACCAAGGAGCTAAATGTCATTTTCCACAGTCTGCCAGATCATGACAGAGCTGTATGAGTCAGGGCCAAGTGTCCAAAGGTTTGGAGGAGATGAAGTAATGGGAGGAAGCATGGAGTTGGGGACACACAGCGTGCCTTTCCGCAGAAATTCAATGACTAAGGTTTTTCTACTGACGATTTGGAGAAATATTTTTACTAATTAAACTCTATTTTTAAAAATATATTGAACCCTGAAGAAGTAGCACTCTTGTGATACCAGAGTGCCTTGCTATTAACTTCAGCAGGAGCAAAACCTTTTTTGTTTGCTCCTCAAATGCAGAGCCACTAATCAGAACTGCTAATCACATTTTGCCTAAAAGGTCTGCATGAGTTAATCACTCTAAAATTGTCATTCATTTTAAGAGATGAGCTCCTAACTAGAATGCAGGAGTATTATAAATTAGCTAATTTGTTTATTTATTGCTAGTTCTGCAATTAATACAAGGTTAATTCTTTCAAAAACTATTAAGCCCAGAGCAGCTGAATGGTTAGGAAGACACGGGGAGTGATCATTAATATTGATTTATCACACAACAAATGATCTCCAGGGGGTTTAGCATTTGACTCTATTTCATTAGCTCATTTTATTAGCCATCTCAAGACAGGTTTGTATTCAGCTAAGTTTGAAATGGCTGATAATTTCAAAATCACAGCAGGCAGGTGAAATCACAAACTACAGAATTGTCTGAGACATCTTAGGACTGTAGGCTGAATACACCAGTGGAAAATCCAATGCTAATTAAATAAAAACATTGCTTCATAGCCTAGGAGAATATGAACAGAAGTAGGTCAATAATGAGAAGACAGATACATAAAGTGAACCAGCCTGAGAAAGGCCTTGGGGGACAGACTGCAAACATTCAAACTAAACATAAGGCAAAAATTGTTTGTGGCATATAAAGAAAAAGGAGACTTCACCTAAAGCTAAGTAGTTCGGTTTTCATAATTTGAAACAGAGAGCTGTACACAGTTGATTTCCTTACTAGTCTGTCCCCTGCATTGCCAACATCTCTCACTGTTATTTGTACAGATAGAAAAGACAAACTGAGGACAGAAGGACAGACAGTGTGACAGCAAGGGATGGACCTGCCTGGGGCCTCTCAAAAGAGGTGCTTTGTTTCCAGGCAGACACAGAGTCCAGGTTCCCAGGGCCAAAGTCTTCCTCTTGGGGATGTGTGGTGGCTCATTGCAAAGCAGCATTTAACACAGAAGTAGAAAGAAGGTGAATTATTACATAAACCACCATCTCCCTGCACATAGAGCTGATGACACAAACAGTGAGAGGTGGCCATCCCCTTGTGGGTTACTGAGCCGTTCACAGGCCAATCCCAGTTTTCTCTACACCTTCTCATTTAATAACTTCACTCACAGGCTCTTTTGCAGGAGGGATGTTTTGTTCTGGAAACCACATTCTGCTATTTTGTATTCAGGTCTTGTGGTCTATGCTCTTTAGAAACACTGGGATTTTACTCTGCACCTCTCTGAAGGACACACATTCTCTCATTTCTATTTCGACAGGGCCTTAGATGCTTTCCACAGCAGAACTTCAGGGGACAACTTGGCAGGCTTTTATAGAAACACCATCCTTGCCCAAAATAAGTAATATTGAAAAAAAAAAAAAAAAAAAAGAAACATTTAGCTGCTATTTACTATACTATTAATGTGGCTCAGATTCTTCTACAAGATCTAAATGTTATATACAAGATAAAATGTTGCACATAAAAAATATCTACAGTAACTGCAAACTTGTGTGTAGCTGAAATGAAGCCTTTGATCTTTGCTGGAACCATTAGGCATCCTTGATTCACTTCACATCTTCAAGTGCTATAAACCTCATTCTCCCCCAAAAGTCCAGGATGAGTCATAATCAAAATCCAATATTTTTTAATGTTATACTTAGGGAGCTACTAAAATATATAATTTTGAAATAGATCAATTTGATTTCATGTTATTCCTGCTCAAGCCTCTATTCCCCAGCAGTTTGGTGTAACTATTACTAAACACCTTTGCTAACGAACAGTTCTCTCAACACAAGTTCTCTCCACAAGAATACAAGAAAGACCTCTTAAAAAAAGCATTTGAAAATAATGACTTGTGCAAGCATTTAATTTCCATTACTCTTTTCTCTGTGATAATATTTCAAGACAGCACTGCCACTGCACAGATTTAGGACGTCCTCTTGGAAAATCAGGAAAAGTCCTATAAATTGAAAAATTAATGGAACAGAGACCCACACCCAGCTTACTTATAAGAGTTTTTTGGACAGAATTTCCTCACTGACATCTGTTTTGGTGTCATCTGATCTCTCTCCTTGCATAATAAAAAACAATTTAAAAACTGAAAATATTATCCTACAGTCTGCATTGTGGGAATTTGAGGACTATATACAGAACAGCATGGTTTTGTTGTCTTCTTTTGTTTTCTGGTTATGAAACACTTTTTCCATTTCAGGTTTTTAAAAAGTAGCATATAAAAAGAAACAATTTAAAAATCAGTCATGTATACAGAGCTCAAGATCTCGGAAGCATGGCATTGTTATGCACAGTTCTGGTTTTTATATAGCAACTAGTTGTTTAAGAACTAAGAATAGAAGCAAAACAAAAATTAAAAATTATCTCTGCTGGGTACTCTCTGCTACTGAAATCCACCCAGAATAATTTCTTAGTTCTCACATAGTTCAGCTCTTAGTTCTTCATCCCTCCTTGTCCCCCTTGTCCCCTTTTTTGTTCACCAGCTAGAGTCTAAATGCTACTGTCAATATTTAGATTTTAGATACTTTCGAGGGCACAATTTATTGCCTTCCTTGGTTCTTTAGCATCAGAACATCAACATCATTGGACAGAAAAAATAGCCCCCCAGAAAAGTATTTTATGGGTGGGATGTACTGCTTCAGACAACCCTACAGTGTGCTGAGAACGGGAAGGTGCAGCAAAACTTTAAAATATGTAGTAGTTCAAAATTAATTACCCAGCCAAGCAATCATGTCTCACAAAAGAGAAGAGTAATTGAGAACATGGAAGAGCAGAGACAGCATCAGCACAAGTAAACGTACAAGATCAGAAGGGCAAAGCTGTTTGGATGGTTGTGCTCTCCTCATGACCTCAGACCATTGACTGGGCAGAGACTTTCAGCATCTCTCAGGTGAGAGAGGACCTTTATCATCAGAAGAACTTCAGGAAGGTTTTTAGTCACACAGTTTCTGTGGGCTGAAGATGGGATTGCTTTTGCTGTCACCATCCTCACCACATGGGGATATGCAGCCTCAAGTAGGCAGGTTCCAGCAGTGCCTGGCAAACTGTTCTACACAGGCACCTCTGAGCAGAAGGTGCTTAGCACTACTTGAAAAAGCCTTCTGCACCTCTTTGTCTGAGAAACTCTTCTCAGAGAGATCACTTCAGGAACTTCACTAGAGCTCCCGTCTTATTAGAGAGAAGCTGCACTGCACTGCCAGACGACAGAGGATGCACACACCCCCTGAGACAGCTACGCACTAATAACCTGCCTCAGGTGATAAAGTCCTGAAGGAAACAGCCATGCTTGTTAAATACCTTAATAGTCTCAGGAAGGTGAAAGTGTTGTCTTTTCTCCTTTAGTCGTCTCAATACACTATCCATGGTTTCTTCCACTGAGGGAGCTGGTTCCATGCTCGTGGCCTCCTGTGTGCCAGCCTCTTTAGAGGTCCCAGTGCTTTCACAATGGTCATTTCTTTGGGGTGCTATGGAGGTGCAGTTTTGCTCTTCTGAAATTCTGAGTTTCAGCTCTGAAAGGGAAATTACATGGTAAGATTAGAAAAGATTTGAAAAGATTAGAAATATTTGCAAAGCAGTTTCCTCTGACGCTACCAGAAAAAAAAAAACAAACAAAACAAACAACAAAACAAAGCTTTCCTAGTTTTTGCATATGATTTTCATCATACCACAGATATATAGGAAAGTAAGTCTGCTTCACTTTAACATGTAAATCTTTTACCTGGTTAAAGGGAAATCCAATAGTCAAATGATGAGATGTGTCCATGACAATGAACATTACAGCACATGTGTAATTCTCTTTTTCCTCCAAGGCCATCTTTGACACAAAAGGTGAGGACTGAAGAGGCACTGGGTTATGGAGTGGGGTCTGGATAGGAATTAGTGCTGAATTTCAGAGGGAGTGAGGTTAGGAAAGGGGCTTAAAAGGAAAAACAGTGATAGAATATTTATGGGAGGTTAGGTGTGGGGGGAATATGAAGGCAGAGCTCTCTCATTCCTCTCCTTCTCCTCGCTAAACCTGCATACTCTCTGGATAAGTAAGAACATGCCTGTGCCTGCTGTGGGCATTGCTGTCCAAGGATGCATCTTTCACAGACATCTTCCCAAGCCAGAGCAGTGTCTCTGCAGCATCTGCTCCCCTCTCACCTGAGCTGGGCTTCCCTGCCCTCCTGTGCTGCTGCACAAGGGAGGAGGAGAATGAGAAGGGCTGTGGGGGCCAAGCTGTGCCACAGAGCCCTCCATGCCAGGCTGCTGGAGTACCCAGGTCTGCATAACCAACATTGCTCTCCAGTGCAATTTAAACCATCCACCTCCCTTCCAGAGGCTGCACTGCCCTAAGCCAGGCTCAGGTGGAGAAACAGCCACTTCCCTTGGCAGAAGAGCATCTGAGCAACCCAGAAGACAGACAGGTTACAGGGTGTCCAAGTTTCCCAGTCAGCAACCTGCCTGGATGTGATAAAGTGTGCGAGTATATTAGCTTGACACCAAGCCAAAGACCCCGGAGCTCCAGAGACCTGCACAGAGCAACGAGGAAATTGAATTGCAATCTGAATTATCTCCTGTAAAATCAGACTTTCTCATAGCACACATCTGGCTGGTGCAGCACCTTGGGCAAGGCAGGAGATTGATGGCTCCACATGTGTTAAATTTGTTGAAATCCATGCAGAAGCAGTAATAAAATTTTTTAGCAGAAGCAGTAATAAAATTTTTTAGCTGTAACAGTCTGAGGATATAGGCCAGTTTTGTAGGGAAAACTAGTATTTTTTAGTAAACCCACAGAGCTAGAAAGGATGGACAAGCCTTATGAACTTGGAGAAGGACCCAAGAAACACTTGAGTGTTTTCCATTTCAGTTGTACTTGTCATGTGAACCTCATGAATCTCGCTTCACTTAAAAGCAGTGCCATTATTCAGGATAATAAAATCAAGGGTTATCACAGGATTAAGCAGTTTAGATGTGAAGGCAAGGCTGATCTATGAGCACTAGACCTCTGGCTAGGAGAAGCAATGGTTGAGTCAAAAAGATAATTTTCAGAAAGTTAACTATGAAGATCAGCCATTTCTTCTCATTTGCCTTTCCTGGATTTGTAACACAAAGTTCAAGGAAAAACAACAACAAAAATAATAATCATAATGATGATGATGATGAAATCATACAGGATAGTACTCAAGGGAGAATTTTCCAGAAGAAATTTACTGAAAGATGGGTTTCTAATTCTTTACTTACCACAATCACAGCCTCTATATCTACATTATTAACTACATCCAGAACAGAGATGAAAGATAGTACTACAATTTGTCTAGTAGTGAGAATCCATTTATAACCGGGGAAAAAAAAGATTTAGATAAATTATGAATAGCCTTAAGAAAAAAATCAATCTGTCTTGGCTACATTCTCCCTGAGGGAAAGCATGTGATACACCCCCAGACGTTAATGGAGTGGTTCACAGACAGTCAAGGGCAAAACCTGACCCTCAAGACCAAATCTAATACCAAGGAAAGATCTGTTCTTATGATCAAAATAAATAAAATCTTTAGAGATGAGTATCCTCAGTCGTAAAGAAACAGTTGCACCTACATTTGTGCCATTACAAGGAAAGTTTTAACTTCTCTATTTCAGGCACTCATGAAAATATTCAAAATAGCATTGCCTTTGCATGAGTGTTTATAGTGATAAGGGAGAGACGGTGTCTTTTTCCCCTTCCCCTTTCTAGCCTTGCTGTGAAGGTTGAACTGGCTTACTTTAATCCCTGCTTTCAGGAATCAAGGCAAGTCATATCCCCTAATATCTCTGTTGCCTTTGAAAGCTTATTGGCATGCACTGTGAAAAATAAGCAGAGCAGTGAGGTTAGACAACTGACTCTAAAATATTCCAGGTACACTCCTACTTCCAAAAGCTTCAGCAATAAAGGGAAAGTGACGTGCTATTATCATGTACCTTTGAGCTGCTTCCGACCTTTGGCCAAAGCATTCATCCATTTCAGAACTTCAGGATTGGAAGTCTTGTCACCATGGGAAGGCTGAATGCAAAGAAATGTAAAGAACGTAAAGAAACAGAAGGAATTGAGAGTTATGTGATAAAACAGACAAAACCCTGTGTGCTCCAAAATGCCCGTAGTTCCCACTGCACGGTGTCACGGGGCCATGCAGAGCACTTGGCTTGATCGTGGCATTAATTTGTCATGACTTATCTGTGCCCCATTGTGGCACAGTGCTACATGGATCTGGGTGTTTTGTCTCTGATCCTAAAAAAGACCCAACAACATTTAAGTCTCTGACTATTCGGGTAAATAACCTCAGTGACTTCAAAAGGATTGATCAAATACCCAATTTTAGTCAAGTTCCTAAGTGATTTCCAGGATGGTAACTGAAGCTCTCTGTCCCTTGCAGGGATAAGCCCTTGCTTTAAGACAGGGATTCTGCTGGGAAACAGCACTTAAAAAATTTCCACTGACCTGCTTAAATAATCAAATGAAAAAGTCCTGTGCTAGAGTCATCTCAAAAGTAGCAAATGACTAAATCTATATCAGTTCTTTCTTTGCATTTAGAAATTGTCTCCAAGTTTAAATAAATTTACACTGGATCTTCAAAACTCAAGATATTTAAAATGGCATAACAGTTTTGCAAAATTAAGCCTCTAAAATTTTATTTTTTTTCCTGGTCACAGCGTGAGGATTATGTATAAAATTTTTCTCCTGGGAGCATATGATGACCACTGGGCCATACAATTCACAAGTTTAAGTTTTCAGTCATCAATGGGATTACAAGGTAATATGTAAATAATTTTAATATGGTCAGAAAATATCACAAACTTCCCTATTTCATATTGTAAACATTCTTTGATACGTTTAAGCTGCACAATTCACATTACACAAACCAGTTCGATATGAACAATCCTGCACAGAGGGCACAGCACTCACCACTGACCTCAAACAACCCCCCACAAGTTTTATTTCTCTTAATTTCTGCCATCAGCTTCTGTTGAGCCCCACACTTTGGAGGTTTACAGGAGTCTGCCTGAAAGAAGGAATCTGCACAGAGGAGCAACAGTTTCCAAGCAAACGAGTTCTACAAAGTGAATAAGCAGCTTTTCATCTTTTTTTTTTCCATTTTTTGCATCATTTTGGTTCACAAGCCTGTCAGCTACATTTCACTGGTTCACACTTCTCGAAGATGGATATTTTGCAACAAAGGTAATCCAAAGAAAATGTAAGTTAGTCTCAGAACTACTGCTTACACTGGAAGATGCTAAAAAGATATTCCCTCATTGAAGTTTTTCCCATTTCATTTCACTAAAAATACCCTTTCTTGTATTGTTTTGCATAAGTTTAAATACACTGGGATCCTTGCCTCCCTCTTCTTTTCAACTATTATCTTACCAGGTATTTTTTTTCTTGCTCAAACTTTTCTTCATACTTCCTAATTTTTCTCTTGAGGCTCTGCAGATGCTTGGTAAGTTGTGTTACTGTCTGTGGTTCTTTGCAGTCTTCACAGTTACATCTGGAAGAACTTCTTGGCCTGCAAAAGCCAAAAGAATAGTTGCTGGCTATAATGGCCCCTGCCTTGTTTCAGGCACACTTTAACCCTTTCTTAGCACTTCAGAATTCACAGCTAGGTTGTTTCACAAGATGGAGACAGCTTAGTTTTACAAAGTAAGAATAAAATAATTGCTTTCGCTTGAAGGTACCCCCAGGATATATTAATGGGTTCACTGTCTGTCTTTCATTCTCTCTTTTTATAATTAGTTGTGGGATTTCTGAATATTTTGGAAAAAAAATTAATCTCGTAAGTCAAACCCTGATCCATTATTTACATTTAACACCCATATCTTAATTCACAAATCTTCCAGCTATAACAGGAGAATGTAATGACATGATTTACAAAACTAAGTGCAGGGAGTTTTTCATTACTGGGAATAATCATTATCATTCTGAAGGCAGTTTAGTTTCTGATTATTTACAGTTGCAAATCAACAGATCTGATTATTATCCATATGGAGATGAAGCTATGTATATGAGCTTTTAAGAAAGTCTGATTTCTCTCTGTAACTCACAGCTTGGTTTCTGGAAATCACATATATGAATAGTTCATATGCTGTTTGACATTGTCACATCCAGTGAATGGCTCAAGCTGTAGTTCGGTTACAGCTGAAATTTTTAGTATTATGCCATGATAGTCCTCTTTGTCTTATCACACTGATTACTAACATTTAAAACTGTCCTTGCTAACTGTAGTTAACAAAGATTTCAAACAAAAGTCCTCTCTTATGACTGAGGGAACACTAGTTCCTATTTATGGTACTGCAAATTATCCATGTCAAAATACGCCACAATATGAAAAATTTCCTGTTTATGACATGACAGTGACTAAAAAAAACCCATGAAGAGTCAAAGGCTGTGGATTGCAGAAAAAGTTTTAAAGACACATAAGAATTAAAATACATTTTCTTACACCATGAAAGGCTGAGCACTTGGTGGAGAAGGGGCAGACTCTGTGTCTAGATTAAATCTCTGGCTTTGGCTAAAGATAGAGCAGCGTGGTGACAAAAGAGGATTGTCTCCATCTGTAATGTGATACAGCAGTCGACTGGTCCCTAGGGAGTGATGTTCCTGTGGGCTGCTCTCCATGTCGTTCTGCCAGTCTCTGTGGGCTGGCACAGGCTCTGGAAAGAAAGTACAAATCAGTGTGGACCAGGGATCACTCACAAGGTACTGAGCTACCAAGGTGAATGCAAATCTTTCCTTGCAGAAGGGCTCAAAGTAAACAGCAAACAGTTCAGCAAAGTGTCACATGCAGGATGAACACGGGACTGAGGATGACAGAAGAGAAGTACAGTTACTGGCTTAACCTAAATCATTTTTGAGTTCCACAGGAGAAGCTGGATGGGTGTGTTTATAAATAATGAAGTATAATATAAAGATGGAGAGTTTCCCAGAATGGCAGCACTACTTGTATTTTCACAGATCTGTTTGCTTTGAGAGCCACATTTCTGGAGTAGATGACAAGTGTGCAAAGTAAGATTAACTTTGTGATTTATCATTTACTGCCTTGGCGAAGAGAAAGGAAGATCAAAAATATAATGTGTCCTGATGCTAAGAACCTCCAGGGCTGCTTGCAGATTTTTGTTAAGGTTTGAAGGAACATACCTATGGGTCTAAAGAACACAGGATATGAAAATAGCAACCACCACCAGTAATATTCCAGTTAGTTATTCAAGGTAAGTGGGCAGTGACTGCTGCCTGGAGGAGTCATGCTTGTGATACTGTGTTAACAGTGTCTTGGACTGTGAATGGAAACCTCACCTCAGGTGCCTCAAAAGGTAAAATTGTTTTGTAGTGGCGATCAAGCTAGAAAAAAGTAGGAACTGGTGAACTTCATCTCACTGGTTCTGTTCATGGGTGACATGAAAACTAAAGGGAACATTACAGTGCCTACCTCCAGGGAAATCCAGAGTTCATCTTCCCTTTGCTGTACATGAGTACATTACAGGAAATAATCATTGTATCGTATTCCTCACCCTCAGCAGTTGTGGGTGAGGATGATGCAGCCTAATCCACATTTTTGCTATCAGATGATTGCAATTTAAAGTAGATTATACTTTTTAGGGAGAAACTCCACATTCATAAAAGTCCTTGCCCAAAAATTCTCTCTGTTTTGCTTTGTTAAAGCAAAGATTATGCTCTGTCTCAGGTCCCCCTACAGCAATTTCCACAGCACATAATATTTTACACCAGCTATGTTATTTTTTTGTTCTAAACCCATTTATATATACAGCTTTTTAATTCATATATTTTAATTCATATATTTAGTTCATTTATTTTTGATTTCCAGGCAGCATGCGTGTGATTTCTGATCAGTGTTATATTTTCCATATGGTTTGCATTCTAATACATTTCACAGAATCTTTTTATTCAATTAAAGTCTAAAACTGCACAGGAAAACAACTGTACATGGATTTACTCACAGAAGAACTGGCAGGTTTAGGTAAGTTCTTTCACCTTCACTTTCTTTTGATTTTCTCCTTTGCACATGGACATGACATTCCTATGCTGAATGGGTATTTCTGTCAGGATTTTAATGGAATCTTTGCATTACATTTTATTTGCCCTCTGCTCAAGAGATACCAAAGCTGCAAATCCCTATTGCTACACTGGGATAGTGGGGGAAAAAACAACTCTGAGTGGCAGCCTTCACAAAAAAACAACTATTAATTTAACATATAGTAGTTACAATGGCCTAAAATATCGTTTTATTGGGCACTATCCACCCGTTTTTGCTTTACAGACAACAAAAAATCCTACTGTATAATCACAGTTTAGTCTGTCATGCAAAAGTTGCATGTGACCTTTGTATCTATAAACTCATCTACTCTTGGCAGCATCATCAATTATAATTATGTTAAGCATTTTCATGATGAGACAATGTGGCTGATTATTAATTCCAACCTTGCACCTTTCCTCTAAATACTTCATACTATGAAGGTCAAATTCCACTCTCCAAGGTACCAGAGCAACACCCAAATCTCCTAAATCATGTGTGAGATTCAAATCCTCCCACAGACAGATCCAGAAAGGCATCTGGGAGAAGCAAGGGTAGAGAACTGTAGGAGCCATGAGAAATCAGGTACTGACAGCACACAGTGATAATGGCTGCAATAACTGCTGTTCTGCAAACAAAAGTGTTATCTCTTTTTGGCAAGTACTGTCTCCTTACCCTGTAAGATTTTTTTTAAAAATTACAGTTTTGGTTGGGTTTTGGTCTACTGTTGTTGCTGGGGCTTTTTTATTCTGAAGATTGTCAATGAGAAGAACCTGGCTTCCTTTCTTTAATTTCACCATCTTTGAACTTCAAGAAATATATAATCACTGTGAAGTGGGTTGACTAAGAATAGTTTCACAGATTTCTCATGCTCTGTTATTATTAGGAATAAATTCTTTTATAGTCATATTAAGTAGCAGTCCTCTCACTGTGAAAGGAGAATGATGTGATAAAAAGATCTGCTGGTCTGTGTATGACAGGTGCAGGAAACAACTTTCCAACATTTGAACTCTGATTTCCTGTGGACCTAGAACTACCCCTCTTGCAGGAGACTGTATTGCTGATAAACCATAGGGTCACAGACACTTGCTCCTTTTCACATTTACAACCAGGCGATTTTCCTGGGGCCAACCCAGTCTCAGAAGCGGAAGAAAAGCACACATTCAAGACTGAACACTCCTTGAAGATAAATGCAAAGGACAGGTAGTGGCTGGTGCAGCTCCAGCGTGAAAACACACAAAACTCAAGGAGGTTTTTTTATTCAGAAAAGGAGACAACCTGCATGCCAGATGAATTTGGGAATATTTCCCAAAGGCCAGGGCACTTCCATTTCCTTGGCACCAGGGCTGTGCACACTGGTGCAACCTTGGTGTGGCCCAAGAAGGGCTTTAGTTCCAATCCTACTACAGGTGCATTAAATTACTGCCTCTGTTCTTAAGTGGTCAACAAATAATTCAAACTGATTCATTCACATGGCTTGATTACTGTCATAGTGAAACACCTCGGTGATGACAAGTTCTAACCAACCACATTTTTAATTAAAGCTTAAGGCTATCATCCTGGTTCCAGTTCTGCTTAGATCCTAAACAAGACTCTAAGCATTATCCTGAGAGCAGCCCATGAACTGACCATGTGTTCATGTGTCTGGTCTAACTTTAGCCTCTATTTTTGACAAAACTGAGAATTAAAGCCACCTCTACCCAACCCAGTAAGTTGCCCCTTGGCATCTACTCCACCTCATCTACTGGACAGGACTTAAAGGCAGCTTTGCTATCTTATGCAATATGTTCATAAGATGGACTTCATATCCAACAAGTCCTATGGTACAACTCTGTATTTATGCCTGTGATATTCTCTAAATAAAACAATAATACACTGAAATCTCTTGTATAGAAAAAATAATATGCATCTGTAATGTGTTCAGCCCTCAACATGTAATGTCTGTGAATGCTGCAACCAGGATTTTTAATTTCAAGGCCATTTAGAACTTCTTGTAGTTAGGTTCAGCTGCTCACTGCTCAAGTCATATATTTGATGTGCACTAATATCCAAAAGCTATAGAAATTACACCCTGCTCTTCTCTGTTTTCCCCTTTAAGAAATTAGCTTAGTAACCCCCAGAAATTCTTTATGGTCTCACTTTGGCAGCTCCAATTCTCTTTTTACATATTCAAAAGTAAACTGGAAATTGCTGACTTTGGTCATCTGTTGCTGTTCATCCCCTTAAAATTTGCATCCTGGAATGCCCTGTCATTTTACTGGACTGTTCTCTTTTCATTCACCATACATATGATGCATACCTTTCTAATTTTTGTTGACTGGGATGCAAATGAAAGGATTGTGTTTATTTTGCCTGATTCATCAAGGAAAGGCTAATAACTAGAGACTTAGCATAGATGGCACATCCTCTAAAAACTCTGCCTAGGCTGGTACAAATCTCTGGATTCCATCCAGGTTTGAGCTGAAATAGCCAGTAGTCCCATGTGACAACTGCACCGTAACTCAGGGCATCAGAAGTTCTCAGTAGTAATTTAAAAGGCAGAATTAGGGCCAGCTCTGCCTGTGCAAAATGGCAAGTTGCTAAAAATACCACAAACCACAAAGCAGGTTAGCAGGAATGACTGCATGTTAAAACCCATTAAATAGGGAAGCTTTAACTAAAGCAAGATTTGGAACTGCTGGAGTGACAGAGCATGCTCTGAACTGTGCAAGAGAAATGCTACATCATGCAATATTTCCCTAAGTAGCTGCATATGGGCAAATGGGAGCAGAGAGGGTATTGGAAGTAGAAAATCTAATCAAAACAGCAAAAATAAGTACAGGAAACAATTATGGACCATCTAACAATGAACTATGAAGCTACCAGAACAAAATAATGCGGTAAACTACTGGAAAGGGAGGAAAACCCCACCCTGTCACAAAGGAAAGGGGTCACTGCAGATTTCGGATGAGCTGCAAAATGTCTCTGCCTGTGCAGCACACACAAGACCTGTCTCTGCCTCAGATGCACGCCCAGGCTGGCACCAGCCCAAGTTCCATACCTGTATCCAAGAGCTATTAAAGTATTTGCCTTGCTAGGCTAAAGCATTCCTGGTTTTTTGTTTTGTTTTGTTTTTTTTTTTAGCTAAAACCCAGGACATTTAGCATTTTCACATTCCTTCATTTTTATAATAATTTGACTTCTGCATACCTTTTTCCTTAATTTTGCAATGCAAACCTCCAACTTTAGAATTTCTTAAGCAGAACACTACCACTTGTGATTTTTTTTTTTAGGTAAATAACGTTATTTTCTGCTGAAAATTCTTGAGCAAACAGCTTCTGAAGTAAGTTCTTCTGAACCCAGTTTTATTCTGATATGAAACATCAATTGCAAAGGGATTTACTGACCTACCTGCCTTAATTTGAACCACGAATGGTGCACACTTTAGGTATTTGTGTATTCATGTCACTAGTCTGTGAGATGCATTAGTCATACTCCTCTGACCTATTTTTCACGAACAGTGACTCCTCTTCTGCTGAGCATCACGACTCTGCCAAGCCCTGGGACTGCAAGCTATGAATTGACAAAAATAGTGCCGAGCCTTGGGGCTGTTTATTTCCATATTGAGGAAAGAGGGAAAGATAACACACCACAGTTTGCCCATATGTGTAATAATACGGGTTCATGAATTATTAAAATCCACATGCTGTACAACTCACCTTCGCTATCTCTCTGCTGATGCATTAAATTAAAATCAATAATAGGAGAAATGAAGTGATATTGCTCTGACAAAAAGAATGACAAAAATAGAATTACATGATATGGCAGGTGATCTCACACAATACAGACATAGGAAGTAAAGAGTGTAAATTTACTCGGAAAAAAATAGCAGATTAAAACTGAAAATAAAAGAGTCAGAATTCTTAAAACCTATCTGAAAAGCAAGACTCTCCCTCAGAAAACCAAAGGGTTACAGCCATTAATTTCTGTCCTTTTGAGAGGTATCACCCCCTTTTCACTTTACGCGGCATTTGCGTCAGGAAATGGTGCTTTGCATTAGCTCTGCACCGTTTCCCGGGAGGACTGACTGCAAACCTGATTTTAAACTGCAAGTCACAAGGTTCTTTTATAATTGCAAATGAGAACACACCACGGCGGGACCGCTTACCTCCACCGCCGCCGGCCCCATCAGCCTGCACGCCGGTCTGCACTGATGGAGGGGCTGCGTCCTTGGGCGCCGGCAGCTGGGGAGTTTCCTCCTGGTTTGGCAGGAATGCAGAGCACAGCTCGCTTTCCAGGGCTTGCAGCTTCAACAAAGAATTCTGCAGACAAAAGCAGAACATTGGGAATGGATGGAGAACGACAGGAATCGGCAACAGCGCTTCAACTCCCGGAGCCCATGAGCGGTGCCTGCGAAGGGGTGTTCCACCGGCAGCTCCGGGAGGACGTGCAAGGGAACAAACGTGCACTGTTCCACGAGTTTCTTGACTCCTGGTTATTTAAGTCCCAATTTACATGGATTATTCATGACACGTGGGAAAGATGACTTCGTCAGCAAAGGACGATTTATTCTAGGGAGCCAAACTGAGGTGGTGTCCCTTTTCTTGGGCTTGGAGCAATACATTAGGGAAGTATTTCATTCATTGGCCTGACATCACGATCTGATGACATTATGTCCCTCCCCATTTACCATTCATAAAAAACCAAATCTCCCTCTCCAGCTTGTGAGTGCAGTACAGAGCAGTGAACAAAGAGTTACTGAGAACACGCTCCCTCGTGGGATCCTTGGAAGAAGTATTTTTTAATTGGCTTTTTTAGAGGTACTTCACTATGTACACATGGCTTTTGTCTAGGTGCTGCTGATTCTACAGAGCAACTGGGTCATTTGCCATCCACTGTAAAGGTAAAATCAACACACCATTGTCACCTGCTGCAGACAAATCAACGAGGACAAGGCTTGTTATCTATCACAGCACTTCCAGCTACTGTGTCACGCTTGGTCCGTTTCTCACTTTAATGCTGCATGCAGTATTAAACTGTACAACCTGACACAAGCATCTTGCTGTGATGTAAACGCCGTGAAAGCCCTAATCACCATCTGACTGGGCAAAATGAGTCACTACCCCCACGCATTCAGATCCTCTATCTCAAGGGAAATACAGCTTACAACATCATAAAACACAATCACACAAGGCTGCCACACACAGAATATACGTATAACATTAAGTCACCCAAGTGGTACTTATTTATGAAGAGCATTTTCTTAAGAAAATAATAAGAGTTGCAACAGAAAGAAAAATCCTCAGGTTTATGCCCTAAGAAGCTCTTTTCCCCACTCTGAAACCAAAGTATTGATTCATTTAGTGAAAAATGAATTTGTTTATCAGCCTGATTTCCTTTGTGTAACAATGTCACCTATGTAGTCAGTAGTTTAATATGTCTTTGCATTATCTTTATTGTAAGGCAGCCCTTTTATAAACCCAAGGATGACAGTGGCTTTAGGTTAAAAAAACTCCCACCAAACAAGTTTGCCTGAAAACAGCAGGGAAGACTTTCAGCCTTGATCCTTTCATTTCTTTTACAGAATTCAAGAAAATTATGGAAACCTTCTCACCCCCAACAGCTTTCAAATGGCAGCGAATTTCCTTACCAAGGGAAGGGTGCCGACTTGAACCATACCCACAGCACTGTTTTAGGAAGGGTTTTCATGATATGACAGGCCTTGTTTTCCGCTGTCTCTCATCTCAGATAAACCCAAACAAAGTGGCTGTGGAGTTGTCAGAGCAGATGGGAAGCATTTTACAGTCATTAATGTCATCTAGCAAAAGATGACTATACCAGTTACAAACCAGTGAGGACTCTGCTCCCAGTGTGGACCTTGTCATGAGAACAGTTGATGAAAAGTAGGGAGAACACAGATGAACAAACCAGAAGAACATACCAATTAGGAGAACATGAGTGAATGTCTGACAGAAGTACCTAACCTTCAGGGACTGTTACTTCAAGCATTTGACAAGAAAAATCCCCTATCAAGAAAATACATTCACTTTGCATCACTATTTCTTATGACACATTAATATTTATGGGAAGTTCAGTATAAAATCAGTCACACAGACTACATTGTTAAATATTATACTTCAGCAATGCTTCTGCTGTAATTCACCAGCTGGTTTATATTCAGTTGCTCTAAATGATATTTTTCACCTATCTGGGGAAGGTGGGTGGATGGCAAATTTCCAGTCACTGCCAAACACTAAAAAAATTCATATAATAATAATAATAGAAATAGCTTATATATTTTCATGAATGTGCCCTTGACAGGGATTTGATGTAGGGAGAAAAAGACTAAGTAGCTTTGATCGTTTTGATGTTGCCAGGGAGACGATGAATTTGGAGTGTACCATCAACCCCACCTTACTCCTAAACCACAGCTGAGTCCTGTGGTGCTGCCACAGCACATCACCCATGAAAAGTCACCACACATTTACAGGAACACACATAAGGAGACATGGCTTTAAGGAAAGGCCAAGCACAAAGCTGCCCAGGGTGAACCAGGTAAAGAAGTGGCTAAACATGTTAGAAGCCAAAACAAACAGCTAAAATACACAGAGGGAAGAGTTAGGCTTTGGTGGGTACCACCAACAATTTTAGTAAGCTCTTATATGAAGAACCAGTATAACAGAAGTAATTTAAGCTATGGCATTCTATATCTGCTAATGAACTCAGCTCAAACAGATTTGATGCTCATTCCAGCTGTGCTCTGGTGCCCAACATTAGTGTTTCTTATGCAGTAATTCCTGATCCATGATAATGCAAATGAAAGGACATATTAATATTTAAAATTGATCCCGAAATTTCTTGTTGCCTCTTAAGAAGAGTATCCTGAAAGTATTGAAAAAGAAGCAATTGTAATTGTCTTGGACAAAGGCTTCTTATCTCTTCTTATGTTCTCTTAAGGCAGCTGACAGTTCAAAGATCTTGAGCTATGCCAATTCCACTGAAGAAAAAACAAGGTTCACTATTCCAAATAATGGAAAAATAAATACATTCACAGGAAGCTGGAGGAAAACAGGGAGAGAGACAGTGTAGTGCTAATGACCTGTTTGGTATTTTTGATAATGCTTTAAGAAACCACAGTCATTAAAATATCGTACCCTTGCCTGCTGGAGAAGGCACAGTACAAAAGGACTGCCATTTGCAGAGGAAGCTCAGCCTGTGGTAAAGACACCATCTCTACAGACAAATAAGCTTGTAGCCTGTACCCCACTGACCATCTCTGTTTCCAGCCAACTACTATCAAAAACACAGAGTGGAGGCCTTAGGGCAAGGAATTACTGAGATGGCAGATAATCCCTTACAACTAGAGATAAGCACCACCCGCTATTAAATCCCTCTGGAGAATGGGACACTGAGAGAACAAATTCTCCCAATGCATCACCAAAATGCTGTGGCAATGAGTGGCAGTGCCCTGAAACAGCCTATAAACTTTTTCTTGGTGGGTGCCACCAGTATCCCCCTCTCCCCCTGGGACCCGGCAGGATCAGCACCACCGTGGGATGAGGAGACCATTCCTGGCCTTAGAAATAACTTCTGTCTCTGACAAAGCACTACTTTTATCAGCATCCTTTGTTTCATCCTTGTGGACTTCCTAAGGTCTGGTAAATTTAAGAACTGAGGGAAGAGGGAAAGGGAAGAAGGAAAGGGAACAGGATTGCCCCAGCCACGAACTCTGCCCAGTCTCAGTCAGGAGCCTGACAGAAGGGACGAGAGGCAAAGCCCAGACGTGGTTCCTTCTGCAAAAACTGATATCACCCTGAACGTCACACAGTATTTCTGGACATAAAGAATGCCTGCACCCTGCCCTTGGGCCTGCTCCTGCCCCTCCAGGACACGAAGGCAGCTATTCTATTACATCCAGTTTGTTGATGGATTTACTGGATTTATGAAATCAACTGGGGCAGAGAAGGAGAATAATCCAAGCTTTCAGCATTTAATGGCCTTTGAAGAGATTCATATAGAAAAGAAACTGAGTAAATTTCAACCTGTTCAGCTTCTTCACTCTGAGGAAATTAATGCTTTTATATGTCACATTGGAACAGCTTTTTAATTCCGAGAGTTCAGGTTAAAATAAGATAGTCATATTTTATGTGAACATAAATAAATCTCTGCAGTATCTGTTATGGCAATATTTGTGTCTTGAGGCATATGACATTTTCAATTCAGAACTTCCTTTATGGGGAACGAACAAGCAACAATAAGATAGAACAAGATATGCCCTGGGTCTGCATAATGCCACGGGTGAGCAATGAAGAGAGACACCATTTTCTCTAATCTTAGAAGAGAATTTATTTTCTTATGACACAAGTCCATTTTGGTTTGCAGGAGATCTGATCTACAGATCTGATCTATAAAACCTAAGATTTGGCAAAAGAAAACACCAGGTTGTAACCCTTACTCATTCCTCATTGATTATTAATGATTTATTTTAATATCTTATCTTTATTTTAATTATCCAATCATCTGTTTTAATATCTTACACTGATTTATTTATTATAATATTTTATCTTAACCTTAAAGTCATCCTTTGCAACGATTTTAAATGGAAGCTTTCAAGTGGAAGCTTTAGTGAATATTTGCAGTGGGGTTTCTCAAAAGAAAGGATAACTTCATTACTTCCCCCAGGGCCTTAAGTGGCTCGACAGAGGCTGAGTGCACTCCCTTAGATTGGTCACTGAGCAAGCCTTCCTTGTTAGCACTGGGATTTTCAACAGGGAGCTGCACAACAGTGACACAAATGCAAGGGAAATAATTCATTGCAGGGAGAAGATTAAGTCTGAATTCCTTTAAAAGGGCACATTGTGGTTTTCCCCTAATGAAAGTCAGGCGTCTATTAATAGACATAGATGTTCCGTGGCTCCTTTTGAAAACAAAGCTGTCTTTTCCACGATTTAACAGGAATGGACTTCTCTTCACCCCTACTCTCTTTTCCCGCTGCTTCTGTTGTTCTGTTGTCTTGTTTTGCACTAAAAATGTTTTCTGCTCCTTGTTTAGGTCCAGTATCATCTGCTGCCCCTGCAGTGTGTGGGTGTACTCTGTGCTCCTGTGCAGGTACCCCAGGCTGTGGGAGACGCTTTACAAGGTTTCCCACTTTGCACAACTGCAAAGCTTGGTTTTATCCCCCACTCCCACCCAGTACGTTGCTGATTGTTAGGACCTAGCCCAGGCTCACGCATTGTTTGATATGATCACACAAACAGCTTTTTTGTGCTCCACTCACACTGTGCTCCTGGCACAATCCCTGTGAAAACAGCTTGTTTCAAGTGTCACAGGTGTTACTTTGGCTTTCCTTGCTTCCCCTCTTCGTCTCTCCCTTCCTCCCATCTAACAACCAGAGCACTTTTTACACTACATTGTACTGTTCACAGTTTATTTATGCAGGTTGTAGCAACCTTGAGAACTCTTTATTTTTAAACAAAACATATTTAATAGATGAACACTTTTGAGCTGTAATATGAGGAAAAAATCAAATGTTCTTGAAAGGTGGCCTTTCACACAGTCAATATTGAGCATTTGATTCTTTCCTGAGCAAACAGAAAGCAGCAAGAAGTTGATTTAAAATATTTTTAAATCTCTAGCTTCTGGCTTTTAAACTATTATGGCAGTCTCATATCATCTTTTTAAACTATTCTCCAATAACATGGCTAGAAAGATTCACTAAAAAGCCAACCCAAGATTCTCAAGCAATTACATTATTCCAAGACCTTAAAATCAACAAAACCCAAACATCTATTTAAAATTTATAACATCATATTTCAACTTTTGGTTAAGCTTACCTCATTTAAGCTGTTACATTGATCGGTTGCTTCCTTTGGTGAAATGCTTGTGTTCTGATCTATTCTACAAAACAAAATAAGAACTTTCACTCAATAGATTGCTTATCTGTGCTGCAAATGTTTCAGACTTTTTATCATGTCTGTACATAAGTTACAAGTTAAGTTATTTTATTAAAATGTAAACAAGCAAACAAAACCTTTCTGTGAAAGTTACATCTGTATTTTGTACCTCATTCAAAACAGCTGTGATTTTACTGGAATCCTAACTAATATATTTAAATCGTGAATGAAGTCCTGCAAAACTACAACATTACAATGTGGGTTTATTTTGTCATGCAGAAGAAGTTCTACAGAGGCATGATCGGTGAGCTAATAGGGTTAAAGCCAAGAAAAATCTCAGACATATGCTTAAATCCAAGCACAATTTGTCCCACATGCTTTAAATCAGGAACAAGAACTTTCCTGTATCAGAGACATAAAGAATAAATCTTCTCATATTTGAATTTGATGGCATTTCAGGCTCCCAATCTTCAATTTTCTGCTTAAGCTCCCTTTTTAAAATTTCACAAAGACCCCAGTGCCTGGAAATCCTGTGAGAGAGACGTCCACATTTTCTAATGAGTGTCACTTTGCAGCCACCAGAGATGTTCATACCTTTGGTTTTCTTTCAGTATATTGCTGCTTCACCACATGGAAATAGGAAAGGAAGGCCCTGGACTGGCAAGGGGGAAATCTCTGACTGAAATGCTGGATGTGCCACTTTCCTTATCAAAACAGACACATTAGGTAGCTACACCAAGGTGAATAATCACTTGCTTTCAAATAGGATCCAAGGTGTGCAGTTCACGTAGGAACAAAAATGAGCCATTTTGGGAAGTGCTCATGTGGCACTGGAATGGGAGGTCTCACAGCCCAGCCAGCCTGCACCTCTTTCAGGCACACAGGTACGGGATCAGATGTGAGTGATTTCTGACAGCACTTGGGCAGCAGGGTGCCTTGGCTGACTGCTAAACAAGCACCTAACTACACCCCTAATTTAGCTCTCCACATATCTATTCTTTGTGCCATCTTGCCTGAAAGCAAATAGTAAATGTCTCCATAATGCGAAGGGAACAGAAGAAAAACAAAATTACAGATGCAAAAAGATCAATGCCTAACAACCAAACCATGCTTTTAGCCAGTGGAGAGGACAGTAGGAGACAGCAGAAGGCAGTTTAAGAAAACTGAGAAAAACATGGGAACAGCAAAAGGACTAATTTAATAGGAAAGAGAGAAGTATTTGTAGTTTGTTTTACTAACATGTCGGGAGGGTACTGCAAGGTTACAAACAGCTGAAGAACTGATTCACTAATGAAGAAAAATTATTTAGAGTGATTTATTGAATTGAACTAGAGCTAGACGTTAAGGAAAGGATGAAAAGGACACATGTCAGATTTGAACACTTCTGGTATTCATTTGGATGGCTCCTTTCAAGGTGCATAACATAGCAAATGTGAAATCTCCTTAAAAAAGAAAAACAAAATAAACTTTTTAAAGAAACCAAACCAAACGAAACCCTAAATGCCAGCAGCAGTTCATACCAGCACTATATGAAGTTCTACATAATTCACAGCTGTATCACCCATGAGTCTTGCACTCTGGAAATTAAAATGTTTACTGCAGCCATGAAGTACCACCTGCATCTTGTTCAGGTTGATGCTCTTGTCTGCTGGTTTGGGGGTGCATTTAGTCATGCATTTTACTGTTTCTTTTTCACTAAAAATACTGGAGTATGATGCTCTTAGTTTTGTATTCTTTGGATTCTGGAGGCACTGAAATCATTAAGGTGAGTGACCATTTGTGTGTGAAGAGCATTTACATGAACAGCATGTGCTGAGCTGATCTTACTCTATCCGGACACTTTTGGGGTATGCTTTTTCCTTTTCACCAAGATTAATTGCTCTGCTAGGCAAATGCAAGTTTTCTGATTGTCACCCGGCAACACAGGGCTTACAATTTAATAACTATGGGTTGGATCTTACTCTCATTAAAAGTCAATCACAAAATCTCCATTAACTTCAAGCAGCAGGAACAAGCCCTAGTTTTCCATCTGTGCTGAGTACATTAAAATTATTTCAGGCCTTAGCTAAAATTTTGAATAATTGCAGGCACCTTATTTTGTATAATTTACATCATGTAAAATAATGAAAATGGAATTTTCTCTGTGGCTCCTACTCAAATATGTGTTATATGGTCCTTTAAAAAACATGAAAGGCCTGGTCTCTCACTCTCCCTTACAGACTCTGGCTTTGGCAGAATTATCCTCTTCTCCATGACAGAGATGGCAAAGATGCAATGAGTAATATGTACATTTAAAGCTTGTGGAGATAACAAGAAAAAAAAAAATCTAAATACTAATTATCATAACAGAGCTCCTACCAGACTTCAAGAGGAAGATCAATTTGTATGAGCAGTGTGCTATTTGAAAAACAGACCAGAACATGTGAATTTTTTGAATTATGCATGACATTACTTCTAAACTTGCATAAAATTCAAATAAAACCACGTAATTTTAAAAGCTGGGCAAAATGTTTGAAGATAACCTAAGCAAACTCACATCACAGTTCCTAGATGGAACCCAGAAAGAAGCATTGTATTCTGTAAATTGAAATTTACTCCAGTCCAGCTCTGGATCACAGTAGTCCCATCCTCAGCTGAATTATGTGTTTATGCATCACAGTGCCACACGTGCTCGGGGTCTTGGCACTGGTGATGCCAGGGTAAGTCCTCCCAGCCAATCACACAGTATTCTGTGGGATGAAACTCCTTTTCCAGATTCACTGTCAGTCTATCCTGGCCCAACACTCCTTCCCTGTCTCCAGTCTAGGAATCAGTTCCACTCTTCCCACCATTAGGGTGGTCCACAGGGGAAACAGCATCTCAGTGCCGTGTCAGGAGACTGATTCAGCCTGTCCAGAGGTCACATCACACAAGAAAGGCAGAACCCACAACTAGCACATCTCAGTGCCAGGAAAACGAAAAGGGTCCTTTCTGAGACCTCCACAAATGGCAAAAAGCATTCTGAAATCCAAACACCTTCATACAGGGCTGCAGATGGGTGCTTCAAAAGCATGCTTTTGACTCCTTGGAAAACAGTGTAGAACTGCAGCAGGCTTTGGGGTGAACATAAAGAGAGAAAAATGAGAGGAAAAACACCATCAAGGGACCAAGGCTACTCCCTGGGCAATCCCTGAATGATGGAATGAGCACTCAGACAGAGAGCCAGTGTAGCACTGCCTGTCTCATCAATCACAGCCCTTATGTAACACAGCCAGCACTTGTTTTTCTTACTATGAAAGCCTCTCATACTCACCAGGAGCAGATCTTACTTGGGCTACAGTAAGATGCTATTCTTTTCTTGCTCCTCTATCCTCTCCGCCTCCCCCCTTTTTCTTTCTTTTTTTCTTTAGTTGTACTGCAACCCAAAAGCTTGCTCAGAGAATTTTCCATGCCTTGGTACAAGAAGTCTCACTGAAACCAGAAACACCAGTATTTTAACATCAAGATTTCTGAAGAAACAGTTTTTAGGAAGTGGTCAGTTATTTCCCAGATTTCTCCCTGCTCACTTGGCTGCCTGTACAGGTGAGGGGATGTAGCTTCACGAGCTCTGCCTCACCCATGCAGGTCTGCCATATGGTACGGGGACATCAGCACTTCTGCAGCTTTCCTGCTCCATCCCACTCATCCCTGAGTTGTAGCTGTTCAACAGAAAGCCTGGAAACCAAAGGAGTTCCCGCCTGAACAGCTCTCTAAAAACTTACTTGCCTTGAAAACTTAAATACCAAAAGCCTTGCTAGAGCTTGGCGTCCCCTGGGGGATCCGAGAAACCCTGGGAGGCTGCTGAACCACCATGGCAGCCCAGGGCTACTGGCATTTCCAGTTTTCCTGGAGAATAGCCATAGGTCTGACAACAACTGCCACCCTACAGCCTCTGCAGAAATTAGGGACCAACCCAGGGACCAGCTGAGTCCTGTTAAATGAAACCACTCCATTCCCATTTTATTTGGGGAATGGGAAAGATGGAGAAATTTCAGGGATTTTTCTTTGGCAGAAAACTTAATCCCAAGGTGTAGTTCCCACACTGAGATGGAATGCAGCCGTCTCTGAAGCACTGACCTTCCCACTGCCTGAGAGTGCCTTGTTTCAGCCTCCTCCCTGTGTAACAGGCAGCTGAAGGAAACACCACCCCCTGTTCAGGTAAGTGCACACAGCTTGCAATCCACACCAGTTTTGCTGATTGCCTTTGAGAAGGCAATTGGCAGGAGCAGCTTTTTGTAATCATATGTATTGTTCCATACTGGCTTTCCTACTCTCTGCTAAAAAAAGGCAATTCTCTTTATTTGTTCCCAGGACCTACATATAACTTTTATCTATCAAAGATGCAAATTGTGTTACTGTCTTATCCAAACCCAGCTACACACAATGACCAGAGCAGCATTCACTGTAATCACTGGAAATAGCATTAGAAATTCATGTTCTGGGAATAAAATGTAAAGGTTTCCTTCCATGCAGATGGCATTCCATGTACTGAATTGATCCTGATGTTCATGAATCATGCACGATAAACACCTCTTGAAATTGAAATCCTTGATTCACAGGCCAAGTACAGCTTAGCCAAGAACAAGACAGCATTCCCCATTCTTCTCACTGCAAACCTCTTCACCAAGTCTATTCTTCCATTTCTCTCAAATCCCACAAAACCTTTCCTTTACTGTTTTGGTGGTTGTCCTAAAATGAAAGTACTCCCTTAAAAAAAACAATCCACACATATATGCTTGTAGGTCGTATTTTTGTGGATTGCTGCTCTCACATTGCCTGTTCTGTTCTTCTCTGTCACATATCTGTTTATGAGCATCCCTTGTTAGATTACCCTTAATTTAGATTTCTCTGTTTAACAGGGACTGGACTGAAAAGTTTTTCATATCTCAGTAGTTTTTAATCCATATTTAGACAAATTAAAACTACCCTGGTTTTAGCTGCCCCACACTCACCGGAACAGATTTCTTAAAAAACTCGGCACGGGTCAGAGCTATTTAGACCTTTAAACTCCAGTGAAGCTAATGACAGAGCTATATCAATCTGCAGACTCTTAAAGCAGAAGTAACAACAAGCTGCACCAGAAACAATCAATCTTGGTTCTTCCTATGAGACATTTAGAAATAAATGCTTTACGTATCCTACACACACATATCTGATACACCGAGAGAGCCTGCCCAGGGTCACCTCTGCAGCAATGTGCCCATCTCCTCCTAAAGACCAGAGAGCTTTTAGTCTATGGGTTAGGCAGATACAGTGTACCAAAGCATGGTTAATTTTACCACTAATCTAGCAAAAACAATGGAAAAGAGTGAAATTCAAATTTAGTGGGGGTAGCAGATGTGTTCTGTCCAAATCCAGCTACGATTGCTGGCAGCTGCCAAACCTGAATACTTAACCTTTGCCATGTCCACAGCAGAGAAGGCAGAAAACAAGGCAGGACGTCATTCCCTGGCAGCAGTGTCCCATCATTCCCTGGCAGCAGTGTCCCAGGCTGTTGAGTGAGTCAGTGCTGTGGTCCCGGTGCCAGAAGCCCGTGCGAGCGGAGACAGGGACACTGAACTGCCAAAATAGGGCCCTGACAAAGCTGGCTGACAGCAGAGGGATGGGCCACGCTGGTGGTGGCCCTTGAGGGGAGTCACTGACACAGTGACCCTCAAACTGAAAGTGGTAACTCCAGCATATTTGATTCAAAAGTCCCTTGCCCTGGCTGGGTGGCAGGAGTGTCTTTTGCAAGGGCAGTTAAGGCAGTTAAAGTGTGTGATGCCAGGGGCCATGTGTTAATACTTGTTTACTCCATGTTTAAAGTTCCTTATTTGAGAGTAAAGTCACCTACTTTTTTCTTTTTTTTTTTTTCTTGTGATATAATCAAACTAAAACACAGAACTGAGATTTGATCACTGTGCTTTCACAGCTCTTAGGATGGTAAATCCAGGTACCATTATTTAACAGATTTAGCCCTTGTGGATAGCAGGCTTTCTAAGGAGCTACCCTGTTAAGCAGGAACAAATAGCATAGTGAACAATGGTTTAGTACCAAGCAAACTCAAAATGCCAAACTGTTGAAGAGGACAGGGGAACTTTGCTGTGGTTACTGTTTTATTCATGCACACTCTTCTTACCTATCTTCCTTTCATCACATTCCTTTCAAAATTACCAGTTACTTTATTATCTACCCATACACAGGCATCCCACCAGCAGAGCCACTAAGTAGGGTCTAACTCTAGGATACCAAACTCACCAAGCTCCTCTTTACAAGAAAACCATGCAGTTCTTTCCTAGCATAAAGAATGCCAGAAAAAGAGAAGGCAGGCTTCCTAATTAGAAATTCTTTCTGAGATGCAGTGTCTCAATTGCACAGACAATCACTGTAGGGCAAAAGCAGTTCTTTGTCCAAGATAATTATATGCTTGGTCATTCTGCTAAACCTTCCTTTGAGAGCACAAATTAATATGATTTACAATGTTGCCTGCTAAAGGCTGTGGTGAAACCAACTAGTTCATTTCATATAAAGCACGCAAATTGCCTTTGGATGGCCACTGTCTCTACTAACCTAATCCTGACTGGAAACAAACCTTGGAGCCAAGGTGCTCTAGATGGCAAAGAGCTGTGCCCTGAGCATCCCTGGGATGTACTGCTGCTGCTTCAGTCCCCCCACAGAGCACCAAGGCTGTCATGCCCCTTGAGACAAAGAGGAGAGACCTGGCTCACCTGCCAACAACTCTGTGCACAGAAAAGCAGGGCCAAACCAGCACCTCAGCATGCAAAAATTGTAAAGCAGTGCCCTCAAATTTAGTAAGAACTAAATCTTATCCTTAGGACACACCTTCACTGGTTGCTGGGTAAGTTGAAACCCCTTTTTTAGCCTTTTGAAGAACCATGAAGGATCAGGGTAGAAACTGTGACTTTCAATAGTTATCAGAGCTGAGTTGCTCGACTATCAGCTGAGTTACCTGCCACCAAGACTTTTTAATGCCTGACCCGAACACACTGTACCCTTCCCAGCACTGGAACAAGCACAGTTGCCACAGCACTCAAGAGTCTAAACTATACATAAATGCATACCCGTGGTAAAATTGGGTGTGCAGGTTCCCACTCCCATTTCACAATTAGAATACAGCTCTGAGAAAGAGTGAGGCAATTCAGCACTGGGGGGAAAAGAAAAGAAATGGCAAGATATTTTTGAAACTTGGCACAGAGGAACTGAAGTTTCTGAACTGAGGATGTTCTTCCCGCTTGAAATGTAAAGGGGTTTAAAGAATGATGAAATTTGCATTCTTATCTTTATCCCTTTTGCTTTCTCCAAACAGCCCTAGCCATATAAATATAGAATACAACTACCACTGAGAGCCAGGAGTTGGAATATTTTATACAAAAGGCAGCAAATGAATTAGCCTTTCCTGCAATTAATCAGAAGTGAAATGTGCTGTCTGATCCCCAAGGCTTACCTTGGTTGAAGTCTCACGACTGTTTCCTGGCACCTCAGAGCCACGTTCTGTGTGTAGTCATTAGCTGAGGATCCAGCCTTCCCCTGCCACTCTGGGAGGCCTGGCAATGCACATTCCAGCTCCTGCACAAAGCACACCAAAAAAAGAAAAAACTTGAATGTGCCCTGTCAGTACCAATCAGGCTTAGCTGAATGTTTCGCTTTGAGAAAAAAAATGCTCCATGAGACTGGATGCTGATTGGGGATCTTTGTTCTTTTTTTTTTTTTGGGTAGTAATCTGGGAACATGTGGAAAACACAAAGCACACACTAGAAAATGTTCTAAACAAAATAGTATGTTCTTTCTCTGGAAAACAGTTTTTGAAACCAAAGCAGACTGTAACCCATTTTCTGTTTGTTAGTTACATAACAGATGTCAGCTTCTGAGCTAAGAGGTACTATACACAGAGTTCATTTGAATTTATTTACTCATATGTCAGTAATTTTACTACTTGGCTATCACCAGAAAAATTCTGGCTGACAAAGGCAAATGCAGTTCACTTAAATAAGATTTGTAAGGTTTAACCACCTTTCTCTTTTCCTTCCCTAGAATATGTGTAGCTTTACAAATAGAGTATTACTGTTGAAGGAGGGAAAGGCATTGAGGGGAAAAAATGTCACATCACCCAACCTGCAACACAGAAAATAGAAAAGCCAATTCAGTCCAAAAAAATGAGTAAGGGAAGAGGAATGAGAAAGGTACCCATTTTACTCCAAGCTTTCAAAAAACAGTTGTAGGGCTGTGACGAGATGTGTTCAGGACATGTTAATTTTCCTGCCTATAAAATGGTCTGCAATATTTCCCTTGCATTGCAATGGGGTAAGTTAATGAAGTTCTTTGAAAATGATAATCAAAGTGGGACTTTTTTCCTGCTTCTTTATTAGCTTTTATAATCCAGTATTTTAGTCTAAGAGCTCATCAAATTAAAATACGATGTGCTTTGCAAAATAACAGTGTTCACTTCCCTGGTAAAGCAATGTGTCTGATTTTGTCTCAATTTCAAAGCTTAGTTGGATGCATGGAAGTCAGAAGTTTGGGTGGGAATGTTCAGATGGCAACTCAGAGGGCAGAGAGAACATGGCAATTCAAGATGGTTTCTGCTAGCTGAAAGGGAAAGCTGAGGACAAGAGTATTTGCTGGCAATAAACGCTTGCAGGCTTGATGTTTGAGGACTTGGGTGGTTTGGGGTTGTTAATTTCTTTTCTGTTTTTCTTTTTTATGTCTTTGTTACTGCTCATAAGTCGTGTCATTAGGGTGTTAAGGAGTAACCCTAGGGAAACACCCTTGATGGAACCTCCATTTCTAAAGAGCAGTGAAATCCATTCCTGATTTGTCAAAGGCATTCAACAGTAGAGTACTGTCTTCTATTTTATTTTTGTTTCTTTTTCACTAGAAAGGGTGAAGCTTCTACAATGAAGTTGCATCTGCTAAGCAGTCTGTGAAGAGGGAAATCTCCAGGCATTGCTGAGAAGTCTCAGTGCTGCATAATCACCATCATGATATCTGCTTTGTACACAAAACACTATGTGGTTTGGAAGCAGTAAAAAATTAACATCATGGATACACACATGTTGAGATAAACTAACTTTTGTTTCACAAGTTAAATTTTTTTTTAAAATCTAATTCCCCTAAAAAATCACAGCATGTCATAACCCATCTCTGTCAGGGCACCTGAATTACAGTACATGCATACTTGCTGTAATTACAGAGCAGTTTAATCTGTCCTTGAACTCCAGAAAGTGCCTTGCATCCTTTATTCAACACACAAACACTCCCATTTCTCTGCAAACGGAAGCACCATGCAAATATTGAACCAGCACTTGGGAGCACAGCCTTGGTTACCTCGTGGTGCTGTGTCAACATAGAAAATAGCCAGAAATGAATCCTGGGCAGAAGTGCCTCCTACACCTCCTGAAAATTCCAGTCCATACAAGAAAATACGCAGGTACATTTAATGGACAGTGAATTGAAGAGATTTAACCCGTGATGGGAGCTAAGGCCTAGACATAAACAGAGTATACCTGGAAACTGAGCAGAACTTGCAGACTGCCTGACACATTTGTGAGTTTGTGTAGCTGATGTGTCAACATCAGCTCTGGTTTTTGGATTCCTGTGCACTTAAAAACAAATTTTGTTGTCAAACTATTGGAAGCTCGCTGACATCCAAGCAATTTGCCCCTTAATTTATACTCAAAATACTTTCACTCTACAGTCTTCAGCATTTCCAGCTCTAGGCATTGATTGTCAAGCCACCATTTCATTTTTATAGTCATTTACCTTGATAGCAAAACTTTAAAACTGAACTTTTACTGTCTCTACCTATTAGCTAGCATTGTTAGTGTCCTTTTATAAATATGTCTCAGTATCAATAAGGAATTTGAGGATGACTCATTTAATAATCTATATTCGTGACTGTGCATCAAAGGTGAGTGACAGGAGAAAGGACTGGGCAAGGAAAGCAGACTTTTTATTCCTCACCATCTGTTCTCACAGTGACTCCCTGGAGTATGTTCTGGGCATATGCTTCTTCACCTCTTGAAGTCAAATAAATGCTAATTAATTTGATTTTCTATAGATTAATTTTGCAGAATTGCTAAAGAAACTCATGAAACCACAGGAAAGAAGAAACCAAATAGCTGTGCAATAGGAGTGCAGCAGTGTAATCACATTCCAGCAGCCTGCCTCTCTCCCCATACTTTGTTTGGAAAGGTTACAGCTGCTTCCATACCCAGCTCTGCCCCCAGAGAAATAACTGCACACAATATGCAAAGCACAGTTTTACTCTAGTGACATTTTATCATCTGACAAGTGGTCAAGTGAAGCCACTTGATACTGCTCTGTTATTGCACTTGGTTTTGTTAATCATCAGTGTAAATTTAATAACCTTATCTTCATGAAGACCTAGGGTACATGACCACAGCACTGCACTTGTGCCAAAAAAGAATCAGAGGCACAGGAATTGCACTTCAGCAGACTGAGAGCCTTGTGAAGCTCCAAATCCCCAAGTTGGCCACCTTTCCTCTACTCGACCACAGTGGTCTGTTCCCTCTCAGTGACCTTTCTACGGTGGAAATCCCTTGGATTCTCTCTACTAGAAAAGCACATAAAAATGGTTCCCATCCAAACAGACTTTAATCCTTCCAACACATGCAGCAAACTTATTTCCCAAGAGACTATTCTAATTTTAAAGGCACAGTTCTCTAAAGAAACATCTCACGGGATTATAACACACAGGAGCAAACAGCAAACAGTTCCTTGGCTTATCAGAGCAACACCTTTAAAAGAGATAGTGTCACTGCAACATTGTCAGTGTTTCTGATGTCACAGAGAAGTCAGGCTGGGGAAGTGAGGACACTGTTGAAAAAGCACTCTATCAATAAACTCAGGAAAATGAGGATGAACTGTTTTGTCATGATGTGCAGTGCATCATGCTTTTCATTCATAAATGTAGGTACTCAGAAAGTGCTATTTCTCAGCTTGACATCAGCTCCTTGTAAGTACATTATTTATCCCATGGAGTGGCTTGGTGGCAAGCTGTGTCACCAAAGGAAGGTTTATGCAGTTGCACAGTGTTTGAAAGCATCACCTGGCCCATTTCTAATCATAAAAACCTGCCATGAACAACAGCCACTAGAAACAACACAGCAGCACTTTGCTTGCAGCTTCAAAATGGAGAGAAGCAATTGCTGCCAGTTCCCAACTAGGGCTGTTAACACAGGGAGCTGCGACAGGGTTTGGGAGGTCACAACACAGCAAGGATCCCAATGAGAGCCCACACACAAAAACAAACTCTTCTTGAGGCTCTTCTGCAAGAAGAATCTTGTTTTTCTTGGGCACTGTTGATGAAGCCATGGCAGATGGTTGCTTCCTTAAGAATAAAAGCCCCTGAGGTAGCTGAAGATGCAGCAGGTGAACACTCAGGGTCAAGGAGCATGTGCATCCTTACTAATGAGAATAAAGGCTTGGTAGATGTTTTCTCCAAAACAGCTTCATTATGCAAACCATTCCCAGGGGCAAACTCTTTCCATAACAGCATGCACCACTGAACTCAGTTTGGATATAGGATATCCATCAAAGAGTCTCCCATGGTACTAGGATACCATTCCCACTATGAATGAGTGGAGTTACTGTTATGGAGGGATGTTTGCTTTGTGTTTATGCTGCATATTACACTCAAAGCTCTGCACTACTCTCATCCTCAAGTACTCCCATAAATCAGAGCTAAAATGGTTCCTACTCATCTTACATCTTCCATTATGCCAGAGATGGGAGCAAGCGGTAGCATGGGGGCCCAGGACCACTTTCGTCTTTCCTAATTAAGCCCTTGAGTCATGTGAAAATTATCTGCCTGGCACTGTTTTTCCTTCCAGAGGCTGCACACCTAAGTTGCACTGGCATTTTATGGCAGTCTAATTATATGCTCAAAAAGTTTCCCAGGAAAGAATATCAACATTTTCAGATAACCACATCAGACCATGTAAAACACTGCAGAGCAGTAAATCTGTGCTGTGTTGGCTTTCATTGGGTGAGAGATACAGGCAGGACACACACAGGGAGCAGGCAGACAGAGGGCTTGGAAATAGCTGAAAGAACAACAGGTGATCTATGAGACAGATCTTGCCCTGTTTACGACTTCTTCTTGATTCCTATTCCTGATATGCCTCTGCTTGCTCTTCATAGGTCAGAATTCCCACCATTTTTCTTTTCAGTTGATAAACATGTACACCTCATCTTCCTGAAGTCTAAATAATATTTCCTAGTAATGCAATACAGTTGCAAAAAAGCCAGTTATTGCTTATCTCTGGGATGAGCTCCAGAAGAACATGCAGGAAGATAAGGGGAAAGAGTTTGATATTCCTTCTGTAGGAGACTGTGATAATACCATTGGGATGCCATTTGCTTTTCATTTTCCTTCTGGGATTCAAAAGAATAGTTCTCACTTAGAAGGTAAGACATTCTGTCCAAAATGATGAAATCCCATTATAAACTTGAAAAAAACTGTCCAAAATAATTCCTACTTTATGACGGGTTTGAAGCCCTGCAGAAAGCGCTCTGCAAATTTCTATTCACAGACAAGAAGAGAGAAGAGACAAAATGTAGCCAAATACATTATACATCAAAGAAGATATGTAAATACAGACATCTGTATTTACAGATATCAGGCTTTGTGCCTACTGCAGACCAGCAAATCTCCCAGCATTAATATTAACTCTCTTGGATGTGGGAATATTTCTAGCTGAGGAGTTAAATCTGCACAAGACCTCTACCCCTTGCACCGCACATCAGACATGACTTGGGAAGCACCAGGGAAGAACAGAGGCATTATCAGCAGCTGCTGAGAGGTGGTAACTCTAGAGCTGACATAGCAAATGTACCTCCACAGACAGCAGCAGAAGCTTCTTCATTTCTAGTCTTCTTTTATACCCTTCAGAAAAGTTATAGTTTCAACCTGGGAAGCTTGTGAGCAAGAGCTCTGCTACCAGAATCTGCATTGGAATAGACTTGTTATTTAAAGATGAGAAAAACAGAAATTAATATAAAAGGGAAAGTATTAAAACTCTCTATAGGCAGCCAAAATACCAGCACAAGAGATCCTCAATCAAACAAACAAAACAGAAAATGTCTAACCAAGTGCTGCAACTACCAAGGTTTTTATATTTGGTGCAAGGAAACACAGAAAATATAAAGAGAGATATCTTCAGCTATGCTGTGCACTCACTCATGACAGTGGTTGCAACATAGCCCTCTCTGCAATTCCCTGGCTGAAAGAAATTGTCTGTTGTTACAGGATGGTTCCAGGACTGCAGGTCCCTGAAAATCATGGTAGATTATCATGAGGTCTTGATCACATCATGAATCACCAGGGGGTCCCACTTTGCATTTCAAAAATTATGTTTGCTCAGACACCATGCCAAAAAATGACCCCTGGTAAATTTAGTTCTTTACCTGACTTTCCTCATGGCTTTTTCCATTTTCTAGCTTTGCAATGGGCTTGGGTTTCCTCAGCTTTAAGTTGCCCATTTCAGGCTTTAGAGCACAGTCAACCACAGCCTGCTGCCTGTGCTGCTGAGCGTCTGGCAAAGGCAGCTGCCTTTCCTCTAAGACAGCACCGTTGTCCGGATAATTTTCTTTGTTATCATCATCTCTGTAAGAAAGTAAAATTGAAATGCATCAGGCAGGATTTCAGACACCTGTCAAAACATTAGGGAGGAAAAAGAACAACAAGTGCTTAGCTATTCATGGCATATTGCTTTTACTAAGTTGAGTGGTCTACACATCAAACACTGCTTATGTCAGTAACATGAGTCTAAACTACTGTTAACATTATTACACATTCAACTGTGGAGCTACTTAAATAAGACTAATCTTAGAGGCACTCTTTGGCTTCAGCCCTGTAGTTCACATGCCCCAAATAAAATCTGAAGCTGTCCTTTTTATGCAGAAGGCCTTTCACCACCCAATGATTCACAGTAAGTTGTAATCTCACAAGAATGTCATTATATAGAACAGTTCCTCTCTACAGTCTCACTTCCCTTCTGACAGGCTCTGGTTTTGAGGGCTTTTGAACAAAGTGAGGGAGGTAGCCATTCAGGTAGGGTCTGAACAGCCAGAAGTGTGTTTGGGTGGAAGGGACAAGTGCCATGTGCTCCCAGTTCGGAGAAAATGTCCTCCTGTATAACAGCACACCTGGGGGTTTAAACAGACGCTGTTATTCATGGATGCTCAGGTAACCACTGAATCTGGGACAGGCATTTTCAATCTCCACCCAGTCTGCAATGTGCAAGCTGTCCCAAGAAGACCTTGCTAGTCCTATCCACACCCAGTCATTCCAGCTTTAGATTGGCCTAATGCCTTCCCCTGGTGGTGTCTCCCTGGTACCATTAGGAAAGTTTCTGCAATGCAGGATGCTGGGCTGCCTGCTCAGCTGGCAGGATGAGCAGGTCGGCATTACTGCTCCAAAATCCGTGGCTGTAGCTTAGTTTGCAGGTGGAATTTCAGATGTTAGCTTCAGCTGGTAAAATCCTTATGGAGAGATGACCTCTCTCCTGGTATGAAACTTTCCCAGCTGAGGGAGTCAAGGACTATTGAATTAAATCCCCCTGAGTTTTTTTTTGGTTTGTTTTTTTTTAGAAAGCATAACTTTCTAGTTCAATGTTTTCTCCCAAGGATTCCGAGCTGCCAAACTCGCTTTCCATCTGTGGCCCATCACCATCCAGATGGATGCTCACAGGGTGCCTGTGGAGCTGAACACCATTGCTGCCCATGCCTTCTGCAAAGTGTGCTCCAAGGCAGTTGTTATAGTTACAGCGTAGAGTGCTTTATAGCCCACGGGCATCTCAACAATGTGCACAGGTGCTGCTAATTTTAAGGTATGATCTGACTTTAAAATCTTTCTGAAAGGTTAAGTTGCACACTCTAGCAATCAACATACACTAACATAGCCATGAGAGAGATGTGCCTCAAGAATACTTCAGGTAAATTACAATTTGAAGGATTTTTTTTTTCACAGAGACACTCATCAATAAGCATATCCTTGCACAGTTGCAAAACTCCACTTACCACTACTTTGAATCAGCTGCTGTACAGTAAAATTATTATTAGCAACCAAAGCCGCATCTGAATGACAGTAACACAATGTGAAGTTAAGAATACAGACCATAATATATTTACTTACATAATAACATCAGTAATTAATCTTAATATTGATTACACAAAAGTATACAAGACAAATATGAGTTTCCCAGAAATACTAATGGCCTTTGCAGGTAATACCCCAGAAATTCTTCATTCCCTTGAGAATAAAGGTTTCTTTCTAATGCTTTAACAGAAGCACTCTGGCAGCTCCTTTTGCTGCCAATGGATTTCAGACAGAGTAGGATACCTGGGACTGGAACTGCCTGCTTGATCTTCATGGACAGAGTCTGAATCCCCGTCACACCTTGAAAATGAATACAAGGTAATTGCTGACTTTCTGCCAGCTGCAGAAGCTTAGCTTTTAAATAACATTACAATGCAGCTCAAAGTATAAACACATTTCTTCTTCTCACACCTTAGAGTCACTTAATGCCATAGCTGCTCCATGATAGTCTAAACCTCAGAGGAAGAGGAAGATTTGAGATGTTAAGTATGCACAATTCGGTTTACCATTTTCAGACAGATGAAAATAATCACAAGGGATTCAGATGTTACCATAAAAATAAAGGAAAATTACAAGAAATTCTGTATTTTAATTGCATATAGTATACTTCACTTTTAAACCAAAAATTACTAGGTACAATTATCTAAAGGTGTTTTTCTCCTAAACTCACAAAAATATAAACTATGATAGAGCAGTCATTCTTCATGCAACAAGAAAAAGAATCCCCAACTAAGTTATAAAGTGATCATTAAATCTTAAAGAAGTGAACTAGCAGAATTTTTTAAGATGCCTGAAGAATCATAGTCATTTACATGTCCTTATGTTAAAAACAACAGAATTGTCCTAAGGCTGCCTAATCAGAAGAGAAATCTGGATAAATATGCTAAACAACAGCCACTCAGAGCTGAACATTGCACTGTGGCTGCATGGCTGAACTTCACAGGGTGATACACCTGCAAAGCCTAGGAGCAGTCTGCCCTCAAATAAACATGCATATATATGCATACACTCCTAAAATATGCATACCCTGCCTGGTACTCTTTCTGGGGAAAAGTCAGGGCTCTCTCCTCACCCTCAGTTCATACTCACAGGGCACAGACACTAAGCAGGCCTGGATCTCTTGGAGTTTGCTGGCAGAGGAGTCTCTTCATGATGGGGGAAGCAGCCTGTACTTTCGCTGACTTCTTAAATTTTGAGCAGAGCTGCCCTGCTCAGAACAGAGCACATTAGGTGATACATCCATAGCTCTGCATTGCAATTTGATGGCAAGGTTTTTAATACGTTCCTCTTTCCCACCAGTCTCGTGCTGGTGTCTATATCAAAAGTCAGACTGCAGCAGAAAATATTTAAAGGGACACTCAAGTGTTTACACTTCCTGAATACATCAGCATATGGATGAAAGCATTTGCTGCTGGCAGCTGGAACACAGAGCTACAGTTGAAGATCCCCCTTAATCACACAACATTCCTGCAGTCAGTGCAGTTCTCCCCATAAGGCAAAGTGGGATGATGGATGGAAGATAGGGGCTGATGTACAAAATGGATAAATTCACTGAAGAAATCTGGTTTTCTTTGCCTCTGGATGCCAGTCACACCTTCCCCTCTTGTCTGTCACTGACCACCTGATGGGTGTCTGGCACCAGCAAGGTGTGAGTGTGGACATACTGGGGGTATGAAGAAGGAAACCCAGTGTGAAAGGAACCAGGAACCTGGATGGACAACATGATGGAATGTTTCACAGGGAGTAAAAAATAGAAAGGAAATACGCTGTGAGGAGACAGTGTCAGGGTCAGAGTCGGATCGACAGGGCTCCCAGCACAGACAGGAGTAGGGTAGGATACCACCAGACATGCTGTGCATCATGGGCCAAGCAACAGTCAGCAAAGGCCAGGGACCTCCTAAAGGGACAAATTGTTCCTCCTGTGTGTGCCTTGGAAAGAGGGGCTGGGAGGAAGCATCTCGGCCAGCGGTTCCACTCAACTCCTCCTCTCACAGTCACCGCACTTGGCAACCTTCGGTCCTGAAATACCATCTTGGCCATCAGGAACACTCTCTGGAGGGACAATGGATGACTGAACACAGGTCCACCCACCAAGCCTGTGTGTGCACACTTCTTCACTGAAGGAAGTGCCCCGGGGGTTACCTTCCTGAGCTGACTGTGTATAAGGTGATCATGAGGAGCAGAGATCCTAACTCAGCATCCAGCGACTGACAGGAGTCATAAAACAAGACAACTTATAGACAACCTAAGTGAGCATGACAAAATGTTTTTGAGCAACTGGATAGCAGTACATAGGAAAGATAAGCAATAACGGATCAGAGAACAACACGCCCAACATGTAATTTTAAAAGATTGTGAGTAAGTTCAGAAGCAACACACTCTGAAATTGTTAACAGAAATTTATGTCAGTGTAAAAATAAATATTAACCAGGAATCTCACTCATACAAGGTTGTGTTGGAGGCTAGGACCATAGCAGGACCTTTAAAAAGATGAATTCCTGATATAATGCAAATATCCATCATTAAAGCAGAGAGGGTTTTTATCTTGGCTTCGGAAAGAAATGAATCTTATTGTCCATGGCACCTGTCTGCACATATCAAAACAGATACGCACACATTCCTCCCCTCTCACCAGTAACTTGTAAATCTTGTTGTCCAACGTTGGCTGTATTTAACAGTGATATTCAAGAGTTTGGTAAGTTTGGTGATAGCTTGTGGCCATGTAGTAGAGAGAGTTCCCACCAACCAAAAACTGCAGCAGCATCTCACTCATTCCTAAAACATCAGAGAATATGCCAGGACAGCTTCAAGTCATAAATCCATATGGGCTGAAGCTTACATTGGGCAGAAACCAGGCCTTTTGACAAAACCAGTGGTGTGAATCCTTTTCCTTCAGTACCAATCTAACTACTGACTGATGGACACATCTCTCAAAATTAAGTACATCCAGTACCAGACCAGTAAGATCTTGTGGCATGGGCCAGAATCAGGTCAGAGGTGGGATCCCAGTCTAGCTGGACTGCTGCTCTGATTCTGTATAGTACTGCCCCTGTATGTTTCTTCCAACTAGTTTAACAAGATTAAACCAGTATAATAAGATTGGTTTAATGAGATTAACTTCTTTAACTTCCATTTTCACCTTTCCATAGGAGCCATGGGAAAACTGCTCCCGTTTGCTGACTTGACCTTTGAGATGCTCACGTGAACAACTTCCAAACCAGGCTGCAACCATGGCCTGACGGAAGCTTTGCACCCCCAGGCACTTGCCTTGTCTGAAGAAATGTTCCTGAAAGTACTGTATCACTGATTGTATATCATTTGGGAAGCCCTGATCTTGCCTTTAGCAATGCATTAACATTTAGCAATTGTTAAATGATGCACAGCAAGCTCTCTCTTTCTTCTTCTAAATAAAAGTAACCTATTTTCAGACATGGCCAGCACAAACAATGAGTGCTGAAATCAGTAAGAATTGTGTATCCTCAGCAGTTCTCAAATATGGGCTCTGGGGGCAGGCTCTAAACAGGACTTAGGAGAATTAGCTCTGGAAACCAAGTTTGTTCATTTGGACAATGCTTTTCAGATGTCATTGTTCACTCGCTTTGTTTTCTAAAAGCACGTTTCTATTCCTATTTGGAAATATAAGATTAAAAATGAAAGCCCCCAAAACAGAACCAACAACAGCTTAAATGAGGGAGATTCAGCCTTCAGGCAATGCCTGGCCCAGCCTGGCTCTGCCATTCTGCTGCCTCCCGGTCTGCACTCCTCTCCCTCTCCCCAGGGGCAGGGCTGGCACCACACACTCAGCTTTTATACCTTCTGGGCTCTTGGCTCAATATTAAGCCCCACAGAGAAAGACCATCACGTCTGGGTCCCATGGGCGAGACAGGCCTGGGGGCTGCTCCAGGGGAATCTCTACAGGAAACAATGGATGTACTTGGGGACAGAGAAAAGGGAAGGAGAAAAAAAAAGTAAGACAAAACTACTATCTGTAATCTGGCTATTTTTCTGTGAAGGGGGAGCATTCCACAATTTTAGAGACCACAATTCATCTCTTAACCAATAGGAATATGTGAAAGAAAACAAACAAACAAACAAACAAAACTCAATGATTTATTAGCTTCTGTGCAATCTTTCTTTATCTGCCACAATCGCACAATGTAAGCAAATAAAGCAAAGCCATATAAGAGATGGAAATTCTTTGGATCACTATGAAATCTTACTTTTTCTGTAGTTATTAAAATAACACCTAGGGATGGTTCAGACGATTACAACTTGGCCTGCTTTCAGAACATATCCTGTCCCCATCACTTAGGCAAACAGCTCACTGTCCAACAAGGGTGTTTTAAATTATGAGCATTTTAGCAGTGTAATACTCACCTAATGCACAAACAAATCTATAAATCATTTCCCTCCTGAAAAACTGCTTGGCACCTTAACTGCTGAGGAATCTTCCCCAAAAACTTTTGAAATAATAAAAAGCATGCAAAATAATATTGTAGAGAACACCAATATTGAAGTGGTTTAGACTAAAACAAGGCATAGACTATTTCATTTGTAATAGTTCCTAAAGCCTTTGCCTTTCTAACTTTCTAATGTTCTCTCTTGTTCTATCCTGCTGTCTCTGTAAAACAACAAGAAAAATCAACTTACATATATATCCTTATGATCATGATATGTGCAAAAGGCCTTCTAATGAGTTTATGGAATTGATTATGAAGAAATTACATATTTGTTACTTGGCCTGTCTAAGTAATGTATAAAGGTTTTTTTCAAAATATTTGCAAATAATTCTTTTCTCTAATGATGCTTGTGGTAAGTACAGACCATGTGTCCTTAGAAAACTGACATACTTGTGTTTGTCAGGATCCTCAGTGCCAGAAATGAGCAATATTTTGACAGGAGATTTATCCTACACTGAAAATCATGCATTTAAACATGTGTGATGTACACCAAGCATATATTCACCCCAAAAAAAAGAAAATTCACTGGTAAATGGTCACGGAGCATTTAAAAGCAGCTGCTTCATGCCATCCTTCCCATAGTCACTAATATACTTAGGTTACAGAAAACTGAATCGAAATATATGACACATAGCTTGGGGCTTCTCACATACTACTTACAATTATTCTTTACAGCAACTAAACTCATCGTTCTTGTGTAAAAACAAGGACATCTTTAAAGTGTTCACTTACTCTGCTAAAGCTGTCGAGCTGAAGGAATTCTCCTGAATGCTGAAACAGAAACAAGAACACATCAGATAAATCAGCAAGGCAGGCAGGCTCCCTGTATCCTTCTCAGTTGTGGGAACACATGCAGCAACGTGGCATTGCAAGGCACGTCTCTGTGTGTTGGCTCTGCATGCACGGCTGTACCTTGGGCTGCTCTGCACATGCTCATAATCAAGGAACCGCGGGGATTAGTCCTGCAACACTCACAAAGCCCAGCCAGCAGCGTCCTGAATTAACACAGGGATGCAGGTAGGCTGGGAGGCTCAGAAAGGGATCATATTCTTTTATAACTGTAACTGCTGCTCATAAAGGCTTAGGTTTACGGACAAGTGTTTGGCGTTCTGTGCTTTAAATGTTTGCTTTACGTTACTGGCTCGTCAAACGCAGCGGTTTTTATTACTTAAATAAGGTTGCTCCGCTAAGCTCTCTGGAGGTTTTCTTGTTTAGTGGTCTCTTGCACTCTCAGCTCATGGCCAAACCCCAGGGGATTCCATGAAAAGAATAACCTGCCAGAAAGGACAGTTCAAGTAGGAAAAGGTTATTAAGCTAACAGCAAGCAGTAGATGAAACCATTCCTGTGAAAAGAATAGGCTGCTGTGCTCCTGCAACAAAAATGTTTCTGACCTGATGTAATACGTTCAGTAGGGTCAGCTCAGGATATTGAAAACTGCTGGTTTTGAGGCAGCGGTGGAATTCTCCCCCGAACAACACCCCTCAAATCCAGTAAATACACTCTTGGATCATCCTGGAATCTTATAGCAGCGGGGAAAGGAGCAATAATTTCACTGCTACATACCAGAGACCGGATTTTGCTGTTGTTGTTGTTGTTTGGGTTGGAGGGGGGAGATGGCAATGCAAACAGCAACGTTTTATGAGCACTCCTGTTTGTCACAAAGGCATCTCGCAGACGGCAGCATCAAGCGGAGCAGGGACAAAGAGAGGCGCGTCCTCCTCCTCCGCACAGCAGCTTGTGTGGTGTTGACACACATTTCCCAGGCAGCAGCCGCAGCCAGGAATCACAGCCCTGACAACTGTCTTTCTTTCACCGACAGCGCTCACAGTGCATCTGATCTTCACTCCTTCCCAGCCTCCCCACCTGCTCTCACACACCGCCGGCTTTTTCCTTTCCCTTATTTGTACACATATGTCAACTCACACAATGGCCTGAATTACTTGGGGATCGGAATATCACAGCCACTCTAGTGCCCTACAGAGTAGCATGTTTTGTGAGAGAAGGGTGTACAGAAAAGCTAACTCCAATGGTTAGCAATCAAATCCTGCCTTAGAACTAAAATTTCAAATTTTTCCTCCTCCTCCAGTTTCTTGGGTCTGAACATACAAATATAAATTTCTTTATTGCTATTCTACTTGCAGGAGAGCAACTGAATGAAAGGTATGGTCCTAGTTGTTGTGGCAATCAAAAATTCAATTTACATGCTCAATAGGTAGAGTTCCATTAAAAAAAAAATATTTTTAATGAATATACTCCAGAATGCTTAAGTGGTTGGCTCTTGATTTTCAGTGCTTAGGCTAGGTCTACAGCTAGCATTCCAAGTGGAGGAATCACTACTTTTTATCACAAAAATCGTATTGATAAGAATGGTTAGAGTAGAGCTTAAAAGAGGGACTGAGTATTTATCCCCACTCCGCTACCTACACCCACATAAGAAGGGGAAAGAACAGAGAATGCTCTTATAAATGTGACTTTTCCATTTCTAAGTGCAAAAGTTAAGACTAAATTCTCTGCAAATTCATGCCCTGTGCAAACATAGTGCAGGGCTTTAGTGTTATTACTAGTAAGAGAATATGTCTGAGGACCAGTTTTTAAAACAGGGATGCTTTGGACTGAGATCAAGTTTAAAATGTTACCGCTTTTCTATTGTTTGTCTGAAGTTTGGTGCTGTACAGCTGTTGCCAAATCTCCTTTAGGGAAACACTTTACAGTTATTTCAGCTCACTCAAAAACTTTCACTTGTTTTAAAGAGGGTACTTGATCAGTGTTATTGGATAGTCTCTTCTTGTAAGGTTGTGAAACCATTCAACAACATAAAAACTTCATGCAAAACAGAATAGCATTAATAAATACATGAAGGTGAAGGCCAGCCAAACTCAGAACTCAAAACTATTTCAGAGCTCATGGCCCGAGCAGAGACATGAAGCCATTCTGCTCCTGGGGGAACCCAAGAGAGGAACTACAGTAGACCCACTGTACTTTCTTCTTTTCCTTGCAGAAGGAAGTAATTTGTCTTTAGTAGCAAACCCTTGTTTCAATAATGATGCCAGTTTGGGCCTATTGGCTGACCCCAGTTCCTTCCACCTGCTTCCTGCCCACATGCTCTGGGTAAGACTGGAGCAGGCAAAGAGCCTCTGGCCCTACAAGGGAGAGCCAAAGATACCTGAACCTGCATCTCTGTTTCCTTCTAAGCCTCAGATTCAGAGAAAATATAACACTGCTATTACCTCCTTATTTTCAATAATGATGTTCAAGCCAATTAGGCTTGTAATGTTACAAAACATCACTCTTTAACAGGCTGAAATTCTCATTGCCAGATATATTTCATCACCACATTCAGATGACATGCCAGGTCTCTCATCATCCTGAACTCTCAGTGAAAATAGTGCTACACCTACGTGTGAAGTAAGCTTTGGACTTTCCCACTGAGTAGCAGACATAAGGACTTTTTATTTTGAAGTCATTAGAAATAAACATTTCTGAAATTCTGAAAATAAAGGGGTTTTAATCAGTTTTTCCTTATTTATTCTGAACAGTTTCAGGGATTCATATTTTTGCAAATCTTATCTATGGAAAGGTACTTTCTTTGTTGAAAAGCTTCCCATTTTATACGCAGTTTTGTTCTTACCCTCTTTTGCCAAATGTGGATCAAGTCAACATTATAAACATGACATGACAGCTCCCAGCTGACAACAAAAATGCAGAGTTCCCCAAAGCAAACGTCCACACTCATTTTGGAGATAGCAGGTTTCAGAAATATATTACTGTTCACTTCTGAAAATTTGACTAATACATTGCCTACTTATGACTGACAGATTGACATAGAAATTCCATTCTTTATTTGGTTTGTATCATCAAGAGAATCACTGCTAGGTCAGGAAGAAGAATGAAATAGGAATCAGCCTCCAGCTTGATTTTGCATGTAACAGAGACACACACTCAACATAAATATTACGTTCACAAGCTTGGAACAACATTAACTGGCACTATAAACTTATATCAGGCAGTGAATGCCTTGCAAAGGCAGTCTAAGTCTGCAAAAGAAGAGAGACATAGTGAGGCAAAAGTGGGCAGAAATACTTTTGGCTTCAGGAGAACAGGAGACAGTGCAACAATCAAGATCAAAAGGTCAGAAAAAAAAGAGGAATAGTGAATCTTGCCAAGCTAGAATTGTCTAAAAGGCCACACACACATGCACACCTCTGCAGGCTTTGAGGCTTTGTGAGTTCACCTGCAGAACAGAACCTTTGCCTCAGTTTCCAGAATTTGCTCACCTTAGTAAATCTTAGGGGCATTTCTCACTCAGATAAATGATGAGGCTTTTTAGTCTTAACTACAAATAATGAAGAATTTGTACTGGGAAATAAACCGTATTTTTAAAGTGGAGATTAGATATTTACAAAGAACTCTAAACTCTCTAAGGTTCTGGGAAAGTTAGTATTTCTGCATTTAATATCTACTATCTAATGACAAACTCAATGTAATCCTATAGGGTGTGATTAGCATTTATTGCAAGACTATTTTCTTTATTATTATTTGTTATTCCACAGAGTCCAAAGTGCTTGTGCTGAAATTGCTGCATCAGAGGCAATTACATTTTGCACTGCACTTGGGCCATACAAGGGAGCTGCTCTACATGCTGTGGAGGGACGTGAGAGACACACAGTATGACACACTGTGCATGATGAGGAGCCTGAGGCAACTCCCTCCAGCTCTGGGAAGAAGTTACTCATGTTCCACTACCCAAATAAAGGGAAACTTGGAATGATCTCCCCACTACTGTCTCTCTGGATGAAGTCAAGTCATCCCTGCCAGAACCAAATGAGCTCAGAGACTCATAAAAATATTGAGCAAATTTGTTTGTCTTGGAGTATGTGTGTTCCAGCCAAGAAACAATACCCTGAAGTGCTCCGGCAGTCCTTCATCTCCCTCTCAAATTGTACCAAAAAGGAGGTGCACTGAGCCCTACACAGCATATGCTTTCATGGACAAAATGCATTCAACTCCACGAAGGGGCAGGTTAAACACGCTTGCCTGTCAGGCCACACCGCTACTTCTGAGGTCACACTTGTCACTGAACACTTTTTTTTAAGCAGTAAAGCATTAAGTCATCTCTGGCTTTAGCAAGTCCATTGTTTTCACACACACAGAGCTTTCCTGAGGGGTAAGAGCAGGAACCAATCTGCAGCAAAATGTTGTTAGCGCTGTGGATCATTCCAGTGCCTTGCCCTTTCTTCAAAAGTGATCCTGCAGGATACTTCTGCTATTTTCTAATCTGTAAGGCATAAACCAAGGAGCTGCCATGTGAGAGAGAAGTCACATGGCTCTTTCCTGTAGTGATAAATACTGAATGCTACATGCTGTGGCTCAAAATATTCATGTGTTCACTGACTTGCTTCCTTGACGAGCAGCCTGCCTTTTTATGGGTAACATTCTCACAGACATCAGGAAACATCTTGGGAGAAGCTAAACTAAAATACAGCAGTTACATGCAGGAGCCAGTTGGTGAGCACTCAGTCCAGTTTCTGTACCTTTGATTTTCTCAGTGACCTAATTAGGACATATCTGAGTGAACGGGCCTGGGGGGAAAAGCGTTCAGCTGATCCTGCTGTATGTCTTAAAACAAACCGACAAGCTCCTGCAGGAGGAGACTCGAGCTGAGCGTAGGTGCAGACACAGCTGTCCTGATCCAACCCAGGGTGATTCCATAAGGTGCACTTCTGTTGGGTTGGATAAAGCTCTGTGCAACTGCACAGACCTTCAGGGTTATATATTATGGAGATATTTCAGAGAGCAATCAAACTGTACGTAATTCTTTGCTCAAGCATTCTGAGCGGTGGGCCGATGGGAAGCACATCTACCCTGTAGCCCAAAAGGCACAGACATACATCAGTCATATCCCTCCTTTTTTAAAGGGAAAAATGTCACGGAACTACATCATTTTGTGCAGATTGGGAATTTTGACTTGTGAACCACTACAGTGCCATCACTTCATTATGTTTTTGCAGCTCTGGTGGACTTACCTGAGCAAGCACTAACCGTGTCAGTGGGGAGACCTGCCAACACCATAGGTAACTGCTGGGGCAGGAAGCCCACACCAAGCTCTCTGCTGGAGGGTTACCCCGCTCCTGCTGCCCTGGTTAATTAGCATTAGTTGATTCCATATAGGCCTGCTGGCTCGAGGAAGTGTGCTAAGCTGAAATACTGAACCGTGCCTCTAATTTTGTTATTAAAGAACAATCTTCTTTATGAAATTCCATCAGCTCTGCTGAAAATCTCTGTAGAGATGCCCAAGAATCATTATCCAGCACAAGGCTGAATGATAAACCCAGCTGTAGCAGTCAAACTGGTACCACTGACTGATCCACCAAGGCTTGCTAGACTGCAGTGATCCACTGCAGACAACCTGATACTGTCACAGATGACAAAACTGTTTCCAGCAGGTTTACACCAAAATCAAGCTAGACTCAACACAGCACTAATTCAAAACCAGTTTTTCCTCTGAACATTGCAAGATGGGGAAAGATACACACACACATATCCCCCCTTAATTTTACTGAGGATGCCCAGAATGCTTCAACAGATCACTACACCAGGAAGAAAAAATTCTTATGTAATAAGCCTTGATCTTCACCACTGCTTAAGAAAACATCAGACTCGAAAGAATGACCTCTCTGAATTAATTTATCTGCCTGATCTATCTGCAAGCTCACAGTGTTCCTTTTGTTTGTGATAGTAGGAAGATAAGAGAGGAAATTAAAGGCAAAGGCATTGTAAAAGATAACACTTCCTCCCTGGAGCAGAGCATGTGTGGAGAATGTGTTTAGCTGAGGGCAGC